CAAATTGCCACTCTAAAAGCTGTAATAAATGAAAAGAAATTCAAAATATTACAATTATACATCAAAATAAAATTAATTTAAATCAAAGAATTACATTATTTACAATATATTCGTATTCTGTCATTGTAGAAATGGACAACTGAACTTCAGAACGAAACAACTACAAAGCAGTTCATTAAAAAATAATATGAAAAATTTGGTATCGATAGTGTGAAAGATACAGAGCGATAATGAAAGTATTTTTAATCACGGATGATACTGAGTTAAGAAAGTTTAAAAGTTTGAATTCAAAGCTTTTATAAGAGCTTTTATAAAGCTTTTATATTTTTTTATTAGGAATTAAAAAATTCTAAAGTCAATTGTTTGCATAGCGTATAGAAATATTGTTGGGACAAATATACTATTAAAATATATCTGAATGCCTAATTATTAAATAACAAACATATTATGATATTCAACGCTTTATTACCTTTGTAGGATTGAGCAATGCCTTGTCGGACCTCGAACCAGGACCTCTCGAATACGTGCCAAGTGTACTACCGTTACACCACGAAGGCACGGAGAAAATATCTTGTAACCTTTTTACTTACTCTTCGTTCAAGTCGATGATAAATCAAAATGAGGGAAAATAAGAGAAGAAAAAAAATGAAATATTAGGTGTGAAACGTGTTTGTTCCCAAAATATAATATGACATTAAGATACCTTTAAATTTCCTTCAGTCTTGTTCATTTTTCCTTCTTGAAGTAACATTTTCCCTTAAAGCAACATTTAATACGAAAATGAAAGTTTAATTATTTTGTATTTATAGTTACTATATATCACTTTAAGTGAATAAAGCTTTATATTAGACCTGGCATTCAAAATGAATTAACAGGTCAAGGGCAAAAACTATAAGGAAGGGGAAGAATTTTCAACGGCGTAATTCCTCAAGTTTGCGGCCTAGGGGAAACCAGTTTCGAAGGGGAAATTATTCGATTTGATGATGTCAATGAAAGGGGGGTTATGTTATTCAGCTTTCGCCGGTATTTCTGAGACACGCGAATATTAATAAGAAATAACCAAGCATTACTTACTGAAACATCAAATAAATTTTAAAAAATAATGATTTTTTTGGATGAGCTATATTAATTTATTTCCTTAAAGTGCAGTGCTGGATAGTAGAGTAATTATCGCAGGCTCGCTGCTTATCTGAAATCCAGTGGGATATTTCAACTCTTGTGTCGGGCTAGAATGTCCGTGTGGGAATTTCCGCGTCTCTTATATGCAAAATATTGATCGGGGAAAGTAAAGAATCACCCACTGTTTGGCGCGTTTTCAAGAATTGCACAAACTTCGTATCCACGTATTTTCACTTAAAAAAAACATCACAGAATTCCCCAATCTCGGCATTGCGCACTCCCTTGACTTTGTCCATGTACACTTTGATCTATTTTCACTTAAAAAGTGAAAATAAATTGACAAAAATCCAGTTCTTCTAACGCTTGTAAAAAGCGTCAAACAAAACGCGCCAAATAAGTGGATATTCTGCCCTTCACCCCATTGATTTACCCATGCGGTGCACATTATTAGACAACTTTATCAATAATGAAACCCGCTAAAGGCTAATGGGTTTACCCCTGCTCAGTCACAGTATAAGTATAAAAAAAGAAAGAATTCAGAGCAAGCCGTATCTTTCTAAAAAGATTTTTTTTTAATGGAGAAAATTAAATGCTTAAATCAGAAAGCCAACTGAACATTCGGTTAAGATTTAAAACTTGTGTTCAAAAAGTGGTTCAAACTGGTATTCAAAATTAACGTTACTTATACAAAACGTGATTTTGAAAAATAATTGGTTTATTTTAATAAAACTTCTAACCTCCAATGAAGTTGCCCAGCGCCATTCATTTTAACGCCCAGTGCAGTGAGACAACAAACAGAACCCTCCGAGAGTTACGGGTTTAGGCCTGAAATCTCAATGTTCCTCGAAATGTCATGAATAAATGGTATTTTCTTGATTTTAATTTAGAGACTACTCTCTTTGTATCTAGATTCCTTTTCTTTCAATATACATCCAAACCGAAATTGACTACATTAACAGCTAGCAGAATTTTTCATGCGTGATGAATAAAGAAGTCAGCCTTCTATACAGAGTTTTCCGGCCGTAACGTTGAGAGCGTAAAAGCTTTGTGACATGGACATAAAATCAGAAAGAGCATAAACATGGCGTCTCATTGCTCCTGCTAACAGAGTGGCTTTGCTCACAAGAGGTTCTCATACTGTAAATGAAACTTTTGATCGCAGTTTGTGGCCACAAATTTCGTTCTCTAAATGTAAGGATTTTAATATCTAGAGATTCCTGCCTCCCGTTATCGTCTTTAAAATAAAGTTCTTTTCAATGGCTTGCTAGAAGAGATTCAGCTAGGTTCAAGAAGCTCATCTCCATAAAGCTGTACTTTCACGGTGCTCGTATCGAAGACTTGTAGTGTTCAGGTAACGGTTTGTATCATCCTAAATTTTCATAATGCAAGAAAAATAGCATGATAACAATGAGAAATAGAAACTAGATTTATTGTTTTAATGATTTATTGTTTTAATGAGCTCAATTTTACATTATTTTCATTACTATTAAAAAGAACGTGGATAACTCCTCAGAAAAACCTACAAAGGGAATAAATCAATTTACAGTGTGATGCGAATCTTAGCTATAGATGTGGATTTGATTAACTTTTATTCATGCTTTGCGCAATATTAATAATAATTTTGTATGGAAGTAGATTTATATGTGAATTAGTGATTTTTGTAGCTGCAAGCTAATTGTCTGAGGAAAAAAACCAATTGACTTGTGATGAAGAGTTTCTTTTAACTTTCTTCAGGGCTAAAAACTTTATTAGAATCGAAATATGCTATTAAATACCTAGTTGTAATAAGAAATAAAGAATTTTATATTTTTTACATACATAAGTATTCTTCCTGTGTGTGTTGAAGAAAAATTTCATAAATAAAAGAAACAGGGTTATCATTATTTATTTTTAAGTTTTATCCTCCTTCGAGAGATTTCCTCTGAAAACTTGAAAACTTTTCATTATTCAATATTTACAGTTTTAGTTAAAGATACGAAATTTAGTGATTAATTCAGCACATTAGGATCATTTGAAATAAATATCTGTTTGAAAATTTAATATTTAGCTGTTAATATACTGGAATTATGAATGTAACCAACAGCAAATTAATTTCTAATTTGGTGAAGTCCAATTTTTTTAACCCTATATATTGACAATTAAAACTTGCCAAGTTAGAAATCCGATATCAAAGAAAGTAATAAATTGTTTTTTTAAATGAATTGAAGAATATTGCACATATATTATATTACATGTGTTAAATGAATTATTTTAAATTAATTAATGTATTAAACATTATTATATTAAATGAATTGAAGAACGTTGTCCATTTAATATTTTTTCGAAGCCAGAGAATAGAAAAATTCAGCTGTGCCTTCTGTAGTTTTCAAATGATGCATTTGCTATAACTTATGCCACAGGAGTACGTACAGAAAAATGCAATAATTTCCTTAACCACTTCCCAGTTTTGCCCGAACGCCGTTCGGGTACTTGTAAATGGCACTTTTTTGATTTTCCTGAGCGGCGCTCGGGCAAAACTTTTTTCTAGTCTAATACACTGATTTGCCCGAATTTTTTGCTTGTTTAGTGTGTAATGTTTCTAATAGATGGCGCTAGTAGTCCAGTAAAGTTAGAATTGCAAAACAACTGGTTTCAAGGTTAGGTTTTTACTGAATTCTTTTACGCAAATAAAGGCGCGAAAAACGAAATTCTTTTCTCTAGCTCCGGTGTTCCGGTTACTGCGAATACTATTTGTTTTAAATTTGGAGCTAAAATAAAAGAAGAAATGAATGATAATGAGAAGCTTATAACTGAAGATATAACTCTGATATTGACTCAGATAAAGAATCTGAAATTTCACTAAATGATTCTGGAAGTAATGACAGTTTGTTGTCTGACTTCTCTAGTGATGAAGAAACGGAAAGTATAGATAATCTAACGTAAATTTGGAACTTTTATGAACTTGATATTAATAATCCTTCTTTCTTGATATCAATAATTCTTCTTTGGAATCGAACAGATATGTTATAACAATAAAACATTTTAAATTCTGACATCTATTTTTGTAAAGTGTGTTTTCCAGTTCGCTTACTTGTTCGAAAAAAAAAGCCAACTTTAAGGAAATATGTGCTTTTTACGATGAAAATAAAAATTAGCATAAATCAATAAATTCAATACTTGTAATAGTTCTGACTGCTGATTTGGGTTTATATAATGACTTTCTTCATAAAAATGTTTATCAAAAATATGCTTATTTTTTGTCATAATATGACGGAAAAAAGAATCTGTTAAGTGGTTAAAACGTCACGTTTTTAGTACTGTTTTCGTCACTCATTATAATGATTTTCAGTAACATATATTGTATAAGCAGGAAAAGTCTCTATATGGCTTTCTTTCATTTTCATATTTAAAATAGTATAATTGCGAGTGCATAAAACTATATTAACTAATTTTATTGCATTAAAAACTGTCTCTGTAATTTGTTTGGCAGTCTAAAAACTTTTATTAACCCATTATTTGAAGAAATTTCGTTATGATTTTATATTGGATTTCTAATTACAATTAAGGATTTCTAATTATGCCAAGAACAGTGTGAGAGTCACTGATATAAATAATACAAAATTCATTGTCTTGCTTAGCATTGATAGCATTGATTTCATTGATTGCTTAGCATTGATTTCAGTTACTGTAGCTCATTAAATGGGTTTAAGTTTTATTTTTATTCTTCGTTCTTATGTCATCTTTCAGTTAAAAAGCGTTAAAGAATTTAACTAAAACTGTAGTAGAAAAATTGTGTTTTCTAATTTAAGAGGAATTTCCTTGATAATAACAAATTCATTGGAAAAACATTGAACCAGGTATGTATGTATTCAATATATAGTAAAGACACTACCGAAGATCGATTAAAACAGAAAAACAGTACTTTATACTTTTACAACGAAGACACAATATTTCATATTACTTACTACAACTCCATAAATTAAATATGCTTGAACAATAATACTAACATCTTAAAATGCTTCACATTACTGCGAAAGGCAATATTATATTTTTTAAAACAAAACAAAACAAAAAAATAGTACTTCAAATTTTTACAACATGAAAACAATGTCTCATATTACTTATTACAATAAATTAAATAACATGTCAAAACGATTACAATATTACAATTATTGCAGTAAATTAAATAACATGTTATAACATTAAGAGTAACACGTTAAAACGCTTCACATTACTGCGTAGGACAATATTACATATTTTATTACATTGATTAAAACAAAAATACTTTATATTTTTACAATAAAGAAACAATGTCTCATATTACTTGTTACAATTCTATAAATATGCTTGAATATTAAGACTAAAACATGTTAGAATGCTTCACATTACCGCGTAGGAAAATATTTCAGAATTTATTGCAAAAACCTACTGTCCGTATTGGTTACGTGATTAAACGTTCGGTATATTTTGCAGCAAAAATATACCACCGCCTATTTTTTATTGCAGAATTGTTAAGAAAATATAATTGAAGCTAAAATTCAATAAGTTTTATCTTTTCAGATATATTAATTTTCCTACCGTAATATGAATTGCAGTAGGTGAGGAACATTCAAGGAAACTCCTGTACAAACAAATGCTTGCCGAATTATTGGACAACAGAAAAAAAAAAGAAATATGATTTATGAGCAGAAAAACGATTTGACAGTCAAGGAATAAATTTCTACTAAACAAAAACGCTTGAGAGCATATTTAAGATTCGGGTTCTATAAGCTTAATGCGGTATATTAGTCGCCTGGACATAAACCAGCTGCTGGAGTTACTGAACTTGAAGACATCTGAAAACAAAGAGAAGATAAAATAAGATAATTAGCGAAATCAAAATAAATAAGCAAAATCAGTTAATCAGTTAATCAAAATCAGTTGATAAAATAAGCAAAATCAGTTAAATAACAAATGACTTGTAAACAATTTACCAAATAAAAAACTCTGATGTGGCCAGCACATGGCCTTCTGCCACTTCCATGGTTTAATTAGCCACGAGCTTATACAATATCATTTTTGAATGATTGTAAATAAAGTATAATTTATTGTTCCAATAAATAGAAATGTCTGTAATACGAAAATTTTGCAATGTATTATATTAGGTATGAACGGCCGTATGTGTTTATTTCTTTCGTAATTTATATCAACATAATCAAGCGTATGCATACCTCTTTACTTTTTTAATTGATAATTTTATTTTACTGAGGAGCTGCATAGCATATAATTAAATTAGTGTTTGATTAAAGAAAATTAAATGTTTATAATATACAAGTTACTTATAATTTAATCACCGAATAATAAAATTAAATTGAAACGTAATTTAACGTAGTAATACTAAATAATTTATACCAATATAATCTTTGATTTAAGAAGTTTTGTTTTTCTAATTTTTGTAAATGGCAACAGGGAATTTGTTTATTTACAGACAAAATGGTATCATGCTCTGAAAAAACAATGTGAGTTCACTGGTTGTGGAAAACGCAATCTTCGAAAGCAGTGTTGAAGCGATTTCTCCGTGAATTTCATAAACCTCCACCAATGGAACAATCAATTAAAAGATGGTTAGGTACTACTTTGGTAGACGGTTGCACGGATTTTTGGCGATTTACATTGGCGCAATTGTTGGCGCGGTTTTTACAGTCGTCAGCCATCTTGAAAATGCTGTTTTTACGTATTTCACGCATAGTAAAGTATTCGAAACTTTAAAAAAATAAATATCGTTAAAAATAATGGATTAATTTTTTGTTGAAAACGTTGTTTTTTTAAGATGGCTGGTAAATGTAAATAAATTCATTTACTAAGAGTATAAAATGCTAAAGTAAGGTTAAATTATTACTTTCATCATATAATAGAATAAAAACTCCGCTATAAAAACATTGCGCCAACATTTAATTGGAATAAAGGCTGATCTTTGGAATATGATAACTGGCAGTTTGGCGACATTTTGGAGGAGATAAAGGTTACTACCTAGGACTTTGGTAATAATGTGAGAAGTATCCAGTTCCGATTACGCATTATTTTGTGTGAGGGAAATGAGAGATCATGAGATATGTCATATGACATTAATGGACGAATTACAGTTCTTTAATCGGAAAAGGGGGGGGGATTTGGAAAACTGTAGTACTATATTATTTTGTATTAAGCTTCATTGTGTGTTGTGTGAAATAGTGGAAGTGTGCGTGCCACGTAATGAAGATTCTGAAGATTAGGTAAGTTAGTATTTTTAATCATTTGAGGATATTATTTTTATGCATTGTTCTAAATGTAAGGAGTAAATAAATTAATATGATATTATTGGAAAATTGTTATTAGCAAGGATTTAGTTCGAAGTAATTAGGATTGTAATCTAATTTTTATTAATTTAATGTATGTGCTTATTTATATTTTAGTAGTGTTTTCTAATTTAATTATATTTTAATTTAATGATCGTGATTTTGTGAGTTATATGTTTGTAGTATTTTCGAATACGTTTGAGTAGAATACGTTGAGTATTTTCATGCATTTTCGTGAAATGTTTCTAATTTATGAGAAAAAAGCAGTGTACATGGATATAGTGAAGAGTGTGCGCAATGCCATTTTTGTGCAATTCTGGGATGTTTTTTTTAAGTAAAAATAAGTCGACGTGTACATGGTTTAGTGATATTTTAATTAAATGGTAGTTATTTTGTGAATTTTATGTTTGTAGGAATTTGGTATACGTTTCAGTTGAAGTAAACGTGCATGGAAGTAATTTAAATATTTGACACTAAGTATTTGTAACCATTAGTAATGTTTGCGGTATGAATTCGTTGGTGACTTTTATAATATAATAGATAATTTAGAGGTAAAAGTTTTTGGATATTTTATTTATTTTATGCGTGGAAATGTTCATCTTTGGAAAGGGATATACTTTTTGCCATCTGGTAATTTCATATATGTTCTTTTTACCGAGTTTAAAGATTCACAGAATTTTTTTGCATTTTCGTGCAAATTTTTGTAATTTATGAGAAAATAGCAGTGTAGATTTATAAAGTTAAGAGTGTATGCAATGCCATTTTTGTGCAATTCTGGGATGTTTTTTTAAGTAAAAATAAGTCGACGTGTAAATGGTTTATGTGTATGTGCTATTCTGAAAAACGCGCAAGGAGTTTGCGATTGTGCACTTTTTCCAATTTTGCAGTTAATATTTGTCATGATTAAGCAGTTTTGTTACATAAAATTTCTAGCATAAGTGTAATTCGGCTAGTAGATTGTTGGAAAAAGTGTTCAGTAAATAAAAAGAAAAGAAGACAAAATGGCGGCGAAAAAAAAAAAAAAAAAATAGAGGGTTGCTGTAGCATAGTTGGTCGTCAAATTTCCGCCAAAAAATCGCCAAGTTACCATAATCCAAAGATCAACCGGAATAAAATATTACTTAAATTGAATATTGAATTAAAAACATTAACCAACGTTTAAAAGAATTAAATTTTTAAATTACTTAAATTCAAATCCTTTAAAATAAGTTTTATAGGATATAATTATTTAACATTAAAACATATATGGCAATAAATATCTCAGGAATTTTTGAAAAAAGTGTATTAATTTTTTAATAAAAATTGAAGTATACAATAATAATGTAAAAAAAAAAAAAAATGTACTTACATTTTTTTTAAGCATTTTACCTTAAGTATATTGATAAGTACCAGAAAAAACATCTTCATCTGTTATCCCCATCTCTCGCACTTCATTGAAGAAGCAATTAGCGAGGTTTCCTCCAAAAATTTTTAATAAATTTTCTTTGACCCTTGTAACAATAAATAAATCTTTCATTAGGAAATCCAGGTTGGCCAAAATAAGGTCTCAAACGGCAATTTTTTTATGCCGATACCAATAATTCTTGGTAATTACCAATAACAACATTTATCTTCGAAACGGAGACATCCATTCGCTTTGAAATCTGAGGAATTCGAAGAGATGAATAATAAAATTTTAAAATGGCGCGGTAACGCACAAATATTCAGTAACCAATCAGGGAGCAGATTACATCACGCACAGAATTAAAATTATTTAAATAATCCTTCATAATAAAATATTATTTAAAAAATTGCAAAATTAAATTGTATTTTTAATATTTAACAGCCATAAGAAATGTTTAAACATTAGATTAAATTTATAGATATTAAAACCAATTACTTTTAAAATAATGTGACGTCATTCATTACATCATTCACAACATAAAATTCCATAAAATATGATAAACAATAAAATTTTTATTTCAAATAAAAATGCAAAATTAAATTCATTTTTATTATTTTGAAGTCATAAATAATATTTAAAACACGGAATTTATGCATAATTAAAAGCATTATTTTTTAAATAAAATGACAACAAAGTATCGGTTACCATAAATAGCTTGTCCAGCAAAGGGTATACCATAAGTCGTATCGCTCGCCAAAACAAAATAGCCAAAATCCGTGCAACCGTCTACCAAAGTAGCACCGATGGTTAAAATAGTTTCGGGGCACCGAACATTTTGTACAGAAAGGAACTATTCGTTGGAAAATACATGCTTTTCAGAAGGCCATGATTTTCAGAAAGGACGCTTGGAGGCCATGCGTCAGTGATGCAAATGATGTTTCCGTCATCCGAGATGTGTTTGTACGGCAGTCCTAGTAAATCAATTCATCGCTTCAGCTTGCAAACAGGAATTCTCAGATGCACTATACATGATGTTTTACATGAACTGTTGAAACTGACTGCGTATAAATTACAGATTTGTCAACAGATTAAATCTAATAATCAAGCTGATAGAAAAGAATATTTCTGTAAACATTTTTGACAGTATCAGTAATGATGATCAATTTCTTCAGAAAATCATAGTCATATTTTTTTCGCTCGCCTTCCCTACATGCCTTTGTGGTGTGGTAGTCTGCAGGCTGGACGCGTATTCCAGAGCTCCGTGGTTTGATTCCCGGCGAAGGCGTTGCTTATTTTTCATCTCTCCTGCTTCCAATTAACCTAATGTCACTACAAGCTTATGACATTGGAGGAAGCAATCAAAGAGAAAATGCCAGAACTGGCTAATTGCAAAGAAATCTTATTTCGCTACGACAGTGCGAGGCTCACACATGTTTGCAAAATGCAGGAAATTATTCGAGCTTGGTTAGGAAGACTTGTTGCATCCCCCATACAGCTCCGACGTTGCACCATTCGATTATCATATACTTTGAAGTTTATAATACTTCTTAAATATTAAAAATTGCAGCAGTAACGATACCCTCAGATCGCACTTGGTTCAGTTTTGATAAAAGCCGAAAGTTCTATGAACGCGGAATCGTGAAGTTACTAGAAAGATTGCAAAAGGTTTTCAGACAGAATGGATGACATTTGACTGATTAAAATTCATTTTTATATGGATAAAATAAGTTTCGTTTCACATTAAAATACTAAAATTATTTTCTTGCGAATAAAAACACCAAATAGATGCATAACAATACAATAATAATCTGTACAAGTCATTTTAAATTTAGCCTCTCTAACCATAGTTGACAGTATAAAGAAATATGACATTCTGTTATCTCAAGAATTCGCTGACTATGATTTCGCTCAGACGGAACCACGAAGATTTCGTACGAAATATCAAACAGAAGCCGGTATAGAAAAGATGATTTGTATGAAGCTGAGCACGCGTAAGGTACAAACAAAACTTACTGTGATTCTTTATATACTGCTATGAATTTTTTAGGTTATTAGTCATCTTTATTACACTGCAAAGTTTCGAAATTCCAAAGAGATTTCGAATTACTCTATTTATGCAGTTTCTAAAATGTTTTTTTCATCTGTTTACAAACTGAGAGAAATTTTTATAGAAAGGACATAATAGTCATTACATAAAAGAAATAAGTCACTTACAAACACCAGTCCATGGAGCTTTAATTTTCTCGTCGACCGGTGCCAAATGAGTTTGTACTCTAAATGCGGAAATAACAGCTTGGAAACTAGAATTTTCGTCTTTTTCATTCAGATTTTCATCGCTGGTTGGAAGGTCGAGAATTCTAAACGGCAAGAAAAAAAAATAAAATCATTGATTACTCCGAAATCGGGAATTCAGAGTGATTATTGGAAAAAACTGAATCAAAGTGTAATTTCTGTTTTTAAAGAATGATATCCAAAATAAGAAAAACAAAATGGTGACTGCAGTAAAACCCAAATTAAAAACATTAAAAACATTTAAAACATCCCGTCCCATAAATATTGCTCATTAGAAACTGTGGCGTAATAGAATTAATTTAAAGTAATATATATTTTTAAAAAAAATACTTCTTCTTCTTATGCTCTACAGCAGATTTCCAGCCAAGTCAGCTACTGTCATTTCGGCCGTCAGCATCCGTTTTTTCTCAGTCAGCTTTCGCCATCTTGACCCAGCCAGTGTGACAATTCTTCACCTGTTGACAACATTCTTTAAACACTTTTCTACAGTGTTTAGCCACCTCTTCCATGGCTTTCCTCTTCTTCTTTTCCGTCTGGTTTCTTGAAACGTTAGTTTCTCCACTGGGTTTTCATCTCCATATTTGTATATATGAAGTGGCCATCTTGGTTGCCAGGTTTTAATAACTTTTATAAAGTTTGGTTCTCTAAAATTTTGCTGTAGTTGAAAATTACAAGGTCTGTTTCCAAAGTAATGCACCCCATTTTCTTCTGCCGCGACTATCCGTCGTACAGCGTTGCCGCTTGCACAGAAGGGTGGGTGGAGTCTTGAGAACATAGCGTGACCAGCGTCAGTCGACTCCGAGCTCCTAGAGAGTCACAGTGCCTGTTTCATGAATCCTTGTGTGAGTGCTCGGTCGAAATCAAAATGGAAAAAATTTCCAAGCACCGATAAGCGAAAAGTTTTGTTTCAAACTTAAGAAAACGCCGTCGGAGACTTTTGGTCGGAAATTAAAAAGGAGAATTGAACGTCGGAGATTAAAATATCCCTCAAAGGACAACATTTGGAGACCCTGGAGAACAAACATCAAGGCGGCTACGAAGAGGTTACTAAAGGATATCCCTATGACGGACTTCCAGGACGCAAATAAAGCATAGAAATCGCGTTGGAAGAAGTGTGTTAAAGCAGGAGGGATGTATTTCAAAGAATATTGAGTAATTGTACGAATCGGTTCAATAAATGTCTTAAAAGAAAAAGGGCCCATTTCTTTTGGGACAGATATTGCATATTTTATTCTGCACATTCCATTTTCTCTCACTATTTTTATTTTCTTACTGTATGTATATTATTTATTATATACTATATCTATTATATCGATCTATATTATCTCTTACTGTATATGTTATTTCTAGTAGCCGAAACCTAAAAAAATGGCTCGTGCCCGCCATAATAATAAAAAAAAAATATATAAAATAAACTTCTGAATAAATTCAGAGTTTCAAAATGTGCATTATAAAATTAGAAATCTAAATTTACTAGCATGCTTTACCATTACTAGCATAATTCTTAACTGGTATTAAAATTCACAAATATCGAATTCATATATCTCAAGAATATCCCACTACTTGCAAGCAATCTACACGAGCTTTGCTAGTGGAAAAGAATAGTTAGATAGAATCTCACATTTACTAGAACCAAATAACCTCAAACGAGATCTGCTGACTTTTACTCTGCAAATTTGCCAGTGATTCTACAGTAGGGCGTATTATATTATGTATATTGACACATTGTTTATTTTGTCTGTAATATATTTCCTTATTCATGAGGAGATAATTAAGCGCAAAAGATGCTTTTTAATGTTATGAACAGCAATTTCTTTTGCTTTACAGCAGTTTCTTTGCTTGCAATTGTAATCAGCAATTTCGATGCTTTTTTTTCGGGGGGCGGGACTACTAAACCAATTTTGATGAGCCTGTTCCAAGAAAATTCGTTGTAAAAGAAAACTAAAGAGCTACATCATAAAACGTAACAAAAACGTACGTCAACCAATAAATCAGCAGACCCTTGAAAATTAAAGGAAAACGAACATGTAGCTATGGAAAGACGAACATCTGAGGAAGAATACAAGAGATTAATTGGCCATGCTTTTCCTAGCTACTGGTATAAAAATTTTTCTCCTGGCGCCATCCTTTGATCCAAAAGTGAACGAAACGCAACTAAGAAACGAGTTCTAAAAAAAGCTGACGATAAAGAAGGAATTAGAATTAAGATTATGAAATAAAACGGAAGGAATTTTTTATGGATGTGAAACCCAAACTGGAATTTTTCCCTCCAAAAGGAATTTTTTTCAATAAATTTGACTGCAAAAAAAAAAAAAAAAAAAAAAAAGGAAAGTAGGACTTTTTTGTGATAAACCCATCAAATTAAAAATAAAATCACTTTAAAACTTCGCTATCTATTTCTCAACACCCAAAATTATTCAAAAGAGGCCTTCCGTGGGCGAATTAAATTTCATGGAACTGTTTCATATCCATAAAAATCTTTCACTTCTAGCTAATGATTCCACTTGTAATATCTATTTATCATTCCTTTTTAAGAAATTCTTCGTAAGTTGCTTTTCGTTCACTTTTAGTGTATGGATAGCTCCAAGAACTATGCTATCTATCATATATCATATGGCTAGAAAATTTTAGAATTTCTCTCTGTTGTTTTCATGTAGGCACATGTTCGTTTTTCGTCATTTTCACTCTCGCATCTGAGGAAGAAGGTTTGATTAAATTTTAATACAGAATAGCCAATTAATTCAATTCACAACGATTCCAGTTGCTTAGTATTAATTCCTTTATCTTTTAGCTGCATACTATTTGCAGTATATACGTGATAGGCTGCTTAGTTTGTGAACATTTAACACTTGTGTTTTAAAAATATAACTGGTTTTTAAAATATAATAAATATGTCATAGAACAAGGATATGAAACTGAGACCTTTGGAAAGCATAACGGTATCTCTCATAATATCCCATACGTAAGTGTGAATAGTAGCAGTATGCATGTTCAGAAATTTAAATGCTTTCATATAATTTTCGTCTGCTTACACTACTGTTGGATATACATATTATCCACAGATTAAATCTCTCATAATATCCCATACGTAAGTGTGAATAGTAGCAGTATGCATGTTCAGAGATTTAAATGCTTTCATATAATTTTCGTCTGCTTACACTACTGTTGGATATACATATTATCCATAGATTAACTATTTTAAATGTTTTTAGGTACTTGCACTTATATATGCTTTCTGAATTTAAATGATATTGCAAATTAATTCGCAGCATAAATTAAACTTTTATTTGCATAGAATTAAATTTTCATAGTTTAAAATTTTAATTAGCTTTGTATAATAGAGAATATTTGTTAAATTCAAATATATGTATAGATATATATTTGGTACGATAGATTGTAGTAAAAAGCGGAGATGCAGAGTTAGATGTAATAGCAGTACTATATACGAAATTTCAGCATTCTACGGCTAATTTTTTTTTTTTGAGTTATGCCAGATATACACATACATACATACAGACATATGTACATGAGGACGTACAAGCGTCACAAAAAAAATACATTCCGAAAACATTTTAAATCATTTAGAAATCGTTTCCGGAAATATTGTCCTTTATTCTGTGTACGTATAGACGTTATGAAAAAAAAAAAAAAAAAAACCTCCAGATGGATTCGGGAATGGTTAAAATGTACATTTTCGTTGAAATATTATACCCGAAGTTTTTCTCGATTAGAATACTTCCTCTACTTCGTACAAGGAAATAAAAAAATGAAGTTTTAAATTTAATGTACACCTGAATATTTTTCTCTATAATATATAGCAACACGCTAAATATTCTTCAATCACAGCTACATATTTCTACTCGTCCACAAAATGCTTCTGCTGCACGATTCTCAAATATACATCTAGCATCTGTTTAGTTTTGATTTGACGAGATTCATTTAAATCTTACACCTTATTTGAAAAGGAATTAACAATAACTTAACTGTACATTTTCCTCTAACAATGCACAGTATTTCTCAGCCCGATTACCGTAACGGTAAAATTTCAAATTTTTGGAAAATGAGTTGTATACAGTAGCTTTTCCTTTCCTAGACTTTAATATTAAAATTAGCTATACAAGAATATCATATACACCTTTTAAGAGAAATGTCAGCCTGCTTCATTATCAGGATCAAAGTTAGGTACGTTTGCCATCTTTGGATTGAGTTGGAAATGTTAATCGAAACGAGGAATCCAACAACCATTTGTCAAAGATGGCGGAACTCTTTGTGAATGCCTAAGAAATGTTAATTCAAATTTTGCACTAGTTGAATACTCATGACAAAAACAGCTGCTATCTTTAAAAAGTTGAAAAATATTATTACTGTTAAAAAATAGGATGCTTATATCAATTTTGAGGCTTTCTCAAACGCAGAAATAGTAAATAAATAAAGCAGACATAAGTGAGTCATAAGTCTGTCATAAGTGTTATGGTATGCACAAATTAATACTTTATTTATTATTAAAGAAAATTACTCCGTATCCGGTCCAAATTTTCTGTGCAGTATTATAAATGATATGCTTCCTCCCTCAGTCCGAAATTCTAGGCTGATTTTTGATCCTGGTTTCCTGACTACAACTGGAAAGTTGAAGCAAGACTTTGCTGAGATTAGCCTACTTGAAGCACCCGGATCCGATGATAAGAGAGGATGCCGATTGGACAGGTAATATTTTTCTGGAATTCGGCCACCGAAGCGTAGCTGAAAAAAATAAATCATTTATTCTTCTCACCTTGTTAAGCAATACAATATAATAAATATACTAACAACTCTCTTAACTCTTTGAAGACCATAACACCCCAGACGGTCCTTTCATTCAAACGACCACAACCGCCCAAAGCGGCCAAAATTTCCATGTTGTTTTCTTCCCTCTTCTAAGGTATGCAGTAGCAGGTGCAGTTTCCCCAAATGTATTGTATCAATTTATTGCAGACAGCTTGTCCTAAAAGGATTTATTTGTGGTTTCTTATCTTTATTTATTAGTAAGTAGACAGGATGACATTTTGGAATCTTCACTCTTCTTTGTGCGGTAATGAATGGGGAGGAAAGGAAATTGCTGTGACTTTCGAAAACCTTTTCGGGTGGTTCGGTATTTTATTCACACAGGTTAGCGAAAGCTTCGGTTTTCAAGGAGTTAAAATATGCAGTGTTTAGAGAAATCAATAGGTTAAAAATAAAATTGTTTTGATTAATATTAAATTAAATTAAATTTTTGCCCGTTTTTGTGTAAGTACTACTATAGGTTCTCCATTAAAAATTACACTAGGCACTTATTACATTCCTTTCTTCAGTTAGCTTTCCTCAATTATGTTAATTTAAGATATTGCATTATGAGCAGCTTCTTATGTAAAAGATTGCGTTTTCTTTCTAGTACGATTACACGGAATTATTGCACATTACGTAGTGTAACTGGTAGCGCTGCTGGCTAAGTCGATCCGTGGTTTGAGTCTCATTAAGGGCATACCTATTTTGGTCCGAAAAACCTAATTTTTCTACAAGTTAGAGAATACTGTTACAAGCAATAGCTACGAATGACTTTATTTTGCAGATAGATGGTCTGAAACCTAATTAAAATTATTAACAATATCTGGTAAATGATTTTTTTTAACATTGTTACTGAAATTTATTGACCCAAATCACTTGACAAACAAGTCCATAAATATTTCTCCTTTTATGTCACTCGCGAATGCAGTATGTGGATCTTAAATTAAATCTTTCAACGTAAAATCGAGAAACAGTTTTCTTCTGTGATCTGTGAGCATGGTAAAGATGTGATTAAAATTTTCACAGCTCGTGGTTTAAGTCACGAAGAACTTTTCTTCTGCATTATGCGCCTACGCATCCCGATAATTTAATTTTCTAAGGGGCTGTAAGGAGTAAAAGTTTCCAAAAATACAAGATAAATAAAACATTTTCTCAACGATATCTACACTATCTTGTACTTCCATGTTAAATTGTCCTCCTCAGTCTGTCGTCAAGATTCAAAGATTAGTCATCAAAACTGGCAAATTCAATTCCAGAAATTTTTACCTGCAACATGCTTACTTTTAGATTTTTAATTATGAAGATGTCCACGTGACATCCTCAGTTCAATAATTTCTCTCTTCTAAAATGTTTACCAGCTTTGATTCATAGTCTTTTGGGAAAGAAAATGTGAATTTTTGTAATACTTATATTCTAATCCATGTGAAACCTATTAAAATTTGACGCTCATTTTACACTGCGTGGGTGATATTGTTCCTTCATTTTTTATGTTTTAACCCTTTCCGGCTCGCAACCTTTTAAAGCCGGAGCTTTGATTTAAAAAAAAAAAAAAAAAAGGTAGACAGTCTAATTAGGCCTAGAGGAGTACACAAGTCAAATTTTTTGAAGACAGCACTTATCGTTTTAATTCTATGGGTGCGCCCAAAGTGGCACACTGATTGAATAGAGCTCCAAAAAGAGTGCTGAAACGAGCATTGCTGTCAATGAACTGACCGATGAGATGCGGAGAAACAAAGAATACAGAACCTCAGTTGTCCTAGATTATCTGTGGGCTCGGTCTGGGCACACCTAAGGATCGTCGTTTTATTTTAGGCAAGATTTCAAGATAAAAATTTAAAACTAATATAGAGTAAGGAGATTAGCGTACAGCCAAAAAAATAACATAGAAATTTCTCTTCAAAAATTCCTTTTATACCCTAAAAAATCTGGAAGATTTCCTCGAAAAATGAGGGTCTTAAAAAACTTAACATAGCTAAAATATATGGACTGGTTTGTGTCGAGCTGCCATCTACTATAAATAAAGAAGGTTCAGAGTAACCTATAGTAACCTATAAATTCTTTTTCATCCAATTTTTCTGTGCGTACAGAAGGAAATTTTTAGGTGTGTCTAGATCGGACACACTGTGCCGCAAAGGGTTAAAATGTCGCTCTTTTTTAACTTTCTGTTAGTCGTGTTATAAAGATTTTGAATCGGAGTTGCGATATTTTGACCCAATCGAATTCGTAACGGCTTCTGAGAAAAAATGGCTTCTTCTCAGAATAGGACTAATGTTAATTTGCTACAATCAATTCAGATTTTTCTAAAATCTTGTATCAGGGAGAATTGAAGATCAACTCAGATATTTTTCAATTTTTATCTCAATGGAGAAATCAGACCTAATAAATCCTCTATAGATCAGGCTTTTCAATTTGAACTACCAATGTACAAAACATGTGCCGCATTCAGTGCTTATACACAAGTACACATGTCAGATGTACAAGTAATACAGTTGGAGTCTCTAAATAAACAAGTAACTAATTAGACCAAAAACCACGAAGGGTTTATTGTTTCTGAGGAAATACATGAAAGCATAACTATCGATTCTTTTTTCGGAGAAGTGGCGAAAAGCTTCTCTAAGGAACAATAGTCAAATGAACATTATGTATATACCTCTGCCTCTTAAGGTACTGAATAACACCATAGATTTATAAATACAAGAAAATGTGCCGCAAAAAATTTTCCAGTGGTAGTTTCTGAAGGTTTAGATTGGAAAATTCTAAATGACTAAACAAGGGTCTTAGGGATCGAGAAATTCACTGGAAATATTATAGAACAGATTCTGATTGTAAACGTTTTCAACGAATATGACTCTCAGGACGTAACCGCTGACTTTGATGTTAGAGAAATTCCGTACCATTCGTTCGCTCTCTTAAAAAGGCAAATCCATATGCGCTGTCATAAGAAACTTACGAAAGACACAAACCTTGAATCTATCAAAAGGTACTACTAGGAGAAGAAATTCCAGTAAAAACGGTAGAACGAAGAAATTCCAGTGAAACGTTAACGAAAAAAATAGGAAAAGTGATTAAGTACTTCAAGATTATGTATCATACAATGAAATATATATAGCTTTACTAATCTAATGAATTTATCTGTTTATATAAATCCTTTTAACCTTTCGGAGCACTACTCAGTACCACAAAAGTGAATGCTGTGGGCAGCGTAAGGCCTATTGTTATCATGAAGCTCGCTGTCTTATGTGTGCTCAAAAAATCACCGGACTAAAATTTGTAAAAATTCTAATGTGTACACTTGATGGCTCTTTTCATGTTTGTACTATATTTCGACTTCCTACGATTATACTTTTTAATTAAAATGATCCAATAGTTGCTAGATCAAAGCTTATTAGTTTAAAGGGGCTTTGTCCCTGAAGAACTATTGTTTTCGTTTCGCGATTTTGCCTCGAATCACTATAAATCTCCGTTTCACTTTTCAAACTGTTGCAACCAAATGTTAGAGTTCTGCATTATATTTTAAGAAATTAAATAATCAAAAATCTGCATAAATGTATGTATATTTCTCGCATTGTGATAAAACAACGGTACATAGAGCCATCGGATTTTGAATAATTTAGTAGGTTAACTTAGTAGAATTTGCTGCGAATATGGGCATGTGGAAGACCAAATTTGAAATTTGGAATTTGTTTTATTATCGATTTCATATTTTGTAAAACTTTAACGAATTTTTGAGTAACAAACTCAACGATCTGAAAGCGAGCAATGGCAAGAATCTACGGGAAACAAAACCTTTTTGTACCTCCAGCTTGCGGAACTGTGTATCGGGAATTCTAAAGATGGGCTTATTTTAAAATTATTTTGAGAAATTGCTATTGAACTGAAATTTATGGTTTAAGTTGAAAGAGCATGATGTTTAATAAATAAAGGTAACACACAAAACGTTAAAAAAAACGCCCCTTTGGACGTAAATCGGAAACCTTTCAGATTTTTATTTTTTTTATTTCTTGTTTTACCTAGAAGGAGATGCAGAAGGTGGTTGGTTAAATAAATATGTGAGTAACGACTGCAGCAAGGAGATGAAAATAAACTAATTAAGAAGATGTGCTTGAGCGACATCGAAAAGGTTTTTAATTACTTTCCCCCAATGCCTCATCAGTTCTCATCAGCCTTCATAAAAAGAAATGTATTTAATTTTTGCATTCAACGGTCTTCATTTATTTTATTTATGAATTTTTATGAATGATAATAAAAATTCTTAATTACATATTTCGATTTCAGAGAGGGAATTTTTTTTGGGGGAGGGGGATAGGACCTGGTAAATTTTTTGCATGTTGTGTGTACATTTATTAAAGAATTGGCTTAATTTATGTAATAAAATGATTATATTTTGCTGTAATGAGTGTAGATTTTATGGTATACCAAATATCACTCTTAAAAAAGGAAAGCAGTTTCTAAAGCAAATTTTTAAGTTAAGGAAAAAAGGAAATTAAAAAAAGACATTTTATTGAAACCTGCCTTAAGCACATAAATGCAATTACATAGTTACTCATTCATACATTAATAAAGAAGCACTTTCTGAATTTTTATTTCACTTTTGTCTAGAGCTAGAGAATTTTCTTTTAATTTATTTATTTATAAATTATATATTATTAAATTATTATTTATTATAATTATTATAATTAATTATTATATTTATTAAATTAAATTATTTATTAAATTATTATTTATTAAATTATATATTTTAAAAAATCATCTGTAATTATTTTGTTCAGATTATTCCATTTGAATATTCTCCTCAAGAAGAATTTTTTAATGCATATCGACAAGTGCGAAAACTGGACTTTTGAAACGAGGTATCTAAAATTGACGTGATACAGATTTGAAGTTAGGTCAACCTTTGCTGTATTCCTCCGTCCGGTTGTTGACTCAAAGCAATATCACGTTGTCATGAATACCTTTACTGGTTGGAGCTTCATATACTGTTGGGATGAAGATCTGACTTCCATCACATGTTGCAATAAACAGTTAAATATAGGTGAACATCAGAAGGTTACCAATATTTATTTTATAATAGAAGAAACTGCCGAATTAGGGCCTGTAAAAATAAGTGTTATTCCTTTAATGCATGTATCTTACTGTTCTTCATTTCCTGTAAGTTGCCATAGTGTTTTTTTTCGTTTTCATCAAATTAATTTTAAATGTCGTCAAAGCGCTTGCGATGCCAACTTTAACAAGAAAGCTCTTTAAAATTGTTTTAAGAGGTAGATATTTCCAAAAAGATAATACGAATTTCGAATTTCCTAAAGTAATTATTTTAATAATTCAAGTGTTCTCTCTTTAATAATTCAAGTGTATCAATAATACATACTGATCTTAAATAAAATGTTAATACGCTTTTTACATTTGAAACACACCAAAAATCATCTGAAGAAAACTAAATATAATATAATACTTACAAATTCCTTACACATTGGATCTCCTTTGGAATCCCTCCGTTTCCCGCCAAGAAATTCTGGTAAGACATCTTCGTCAATATATTTTAAAAGTAATTCAGCTGTGGATTCTGGAAAGTAATGTTTGGATAACAAGAAAACAATCCTCAATAACGGAATCTAACTGATCAAATTGCTTTATAAAATATGCAAGAGTGAAACATAAAACTCTCAGCACTAAATAAAAGTAGGGTTTCGAAAAATGCTTTAAAAATCTTAACTAACTGGAAACATGATCTCGCTAATTAAGTGAAACAAACTTTAGAAACTCTGTAACAAGGTTAACAAGGTTGTTATTTTTACAGAACAGGAAGTTATAAAAGAATCATCCGAAAAGTTCAATTAGACCGAGAATTAGCCGATTTAGTTTTAGCCGAAGATTCATCAATTCGGCGTAATATTGAAAAGCCAGAATGTTTAAGTTAAATCCTTATACTAATTTTTGTGACACAGCAGAGTATAGTTGCGAAGCTTTATAATTGCATTTGTGACCGTAAAACATTCATGAAAAGGTTCCCTTACACGCTCTAAAAGAATTCTCTTTCTACAGTATTTTTACTTCTTTTCCTTTTTACTGTTAGTGGTACTTTACGCTTTAGTTTGCAAGTCGAAGTGTCAGTTTAATTGGAATAAAATTAAATATTTCAAGTTGCGACATAAGTACAGTACTAAATTAGCAGAAATCAAGTTTATCTCTTAGAACAAAAATTCTCTCAACTGTTACTAGAATAATGTCTGGAAAAATGTGCACTACGGAAAAAAGAATAAAAAAAAAAAAAAAAAAGTGGGACAGTTCTATATAAATCCGGTTCTACTGGGGCGATTAACCAAAGAAAGTCTATACATATTCTTTGGATTAAAGAAATTGAACTTGCGTTTTTCATATCTCGAAAGCGCGACTTAAGATATGAATTAAATTTATATAGGCATCAATTTTTGACACAAAATCGGACTTTTTCTGAAATGACATGCAAATGTTTTTTCCATATTTCGATTCTACGACTCAAATTATGCCAGACTGCCAAGTTTTCGCACATTCTTCGATCCTGGTAAATCACTAGAAACCGATTTTGCTCTTTGCCATTTTGTCGCAGGTTCGTACTGGATAAAACCGAATCTCCCCACCAGTGATTAATTTTTCAGTAAAGAATTCTTCCTGTTTTCCATTTGCATAAAGTTGCAAATGAAAAATCATCAGCTTGTTGTTGTTTTTTGCTTGGGAATCAAGGAGTACATGCCAAACATTGCACATGCTATTCTGTTCTCAAAATATTCCGGAGAACATCTGATGTAACTCTTTCTATCGAAGTCGCCCAAAACGCCCGTCCGTTTAGATATTGGCAGATCACCCGAACTCCTGAATTATTTTCTACGTATCGCTTTCGTTAACCATTTTAGTGCATTGGTCATTACTTTTTTTTTTGGGTGCAACAATTTTTGGGTGCTGTTAAATGACATACCTATCATTCTTTTGAGCGACTAACTAACTAACTAAACTCTATATCCAAACCCGCGAACTAAATCACACTTTGGAGACTGATATAAAGCATCAGTCAGTGTCACCCTAAGATGACGATTTTACACTTCTGCTGGGCCCACGGATCCCACAACCCCGAGACACCAACAATTTTTAGGCTACCTCTTTCCCAGTCAGAACCACCGTCCCGGCCACAGACCGAGACCACGGTGGGGTGGGCATGAGAACTTGGAGGGATGACTGGCCATTCATTATGGCTACCTGCCAGCATTACACGGAATGCCCCTCTCCTTAGGCTTTACTTGGAATACCAAGGACAGCAGTGATCAGACTCTCAATGGTCCAGTTTGCTATTTGGCTACCAATACTCTGGTGGATGAGGACTCACACCTCCCAGCCCATGAAGAGGGAGTATAGATCCACCCCATGGACCATCGGCAACCGCCAAGTTCATAAATTTTATATCCCCGTGGCAGAGCCTGCCTAAGTACAGATCCTACTTCGCAGAGTACTCTACGTCGACTCCCGGGGGGGGGGTTGAGCGACTAAAATAGTTCTGTTATTTGAATGCACCTTTCTTCTCCTTTGCTTAGCTTTACTGTTTAGCTACTGATGCCTGCCTCATGGGATAAAGGCACACAGTGGTGAAAGTGTATGAAGATCGGAAAAGAGAAGTGATCGCTTTACTTAAGTAGGTTATGGTTAGCGCTGTAGCATTCTACTTGGAATGTGAGTCTATTTCAACAAAAGTACACATTTAATGGCGTTTCAGATGTTTGTGTGAAGCAGATTTTCACCATTACCGATGCGAAAGAATTAGAGATGTTCGATGCGACGGTTTGGCATGAGAGATGATGCTTGGTTTTCAGAAGATTATGAATTAGCTGAACGTTTCTGTCGGACGCATCCTCAAACGACAGCTGTCGTTCGTTTAAACGTTTTAACAACTAAACCAGTCGTGCACGACTTAAGCAAGAAAGCATTTTTTTCAATGTCAGAAAAATGGCTATGGACTCAAATGCCACCATAGCCATTTTTCTGACAAAATAAAATCGAATAACTGCTTGTTCTTCCATTGCACACAATTGATTGACTGCATATCCATTTGTTGTTTACAATCTTTAGTTCAAACTGCCTACGGTAGTTACAGCGATGGAGTTGCTTATATGCCAGGTAGAAAAACCTGTCTCGAAACCTTTCAGACAGATGGTGTATGACATGGTGCATCAAAGAAGGAAAATTAAAGCATATCCTGTATAATACCATGAGATCAAAGAGGTTAAAACCATTCAGCTTGATAAGAAAACGCAGAGAAACTTGATTACTTCATTGACTTCATATGCATAATGTAAAAACATTTTTAGTATGTGTTTGAAATCGAATATTTCATATGATTTGTTTTATTGCGATATCAATGTCATGAACACAATGAACTGCAACAGAACTCATAATGTTCCGAAAGATACCAATATTTCTCATATAAACTATCACATTATGAGGGAGAAAAATAACTTACCGCTTGATACGATTTCTATCTTTTTAAGCATATCGTCCCTGATGATGGGTTTCAAAATATTATAAAATTTGTGGAAGACATAGGAAGCTGAAAGAAAGATTTAATATGTTGACAACATGATCTTCACACTGGTGTTTAACCGCAAACATAATAATAATAAATTATGACTGAATTCATTTTGCAAATTTATTTGCATACTGTGCTAATCAATCCTTATAAATGATGTATGCATCGGTCGTCGACAAGAGTATTGAGCACCATGCATTCCCCCCAATTTTGAGGGAAAGCAGCCGGAGGGGAAAGGAGCCGAGGATCTCCCACCCCTCTTAACCTGCCACTAACCTTTCGAGAGGACTTTCGGCACACGGTATATTTAGAGTGCCCCTATGCTGCAAAGACACGATACATTTACAAATATCCATGGCTAATTCAGAAGTGAAACAACAAAAATAAGCGTTATATTTTCAAATTTTCACAGGACTAGTTTCGATGGTTTTACCGAACCACCATCCTCAGCTGCAAAAGCGCAAAACGACCATCATCAGCTGCCTTTTGCGTTTTTGCAGCTGAGGATGGTGGTTCGGTAAAACCATCGAAACGTCCTGTGAAAATTTGAATATATAACGCTGATTTTTGTTGTTTGAGATCTGAATTAGTATTTGTTCGGCTTGTTATTGTGTCTCAAATATCCATAGATTCGAACCCGGGACCTTTGTTACCGCAGTAGGCTTTCCTAACCACTATACTGCCTGAGCAGCCTGTCGATTTTGTAAATGACTTAAATGCTTGGTTTATCTTCTCTTCTAGGGAATTTATACAAATAATGGTTTCTGCTTATTACCTTAAAAGTATGTATAAAGTCTGATTTTGTAAGAACTAGAAGAGCTACAGCTTTAAGTTAAATAGTTGTGTAGTTGTTAATTAGTAGGAGGCTAAGATTTCATAACTAATTAAATTTGTAGTTGTTAATTAGTAGGAGACTAATATTTCATAACTAAACAGCCGTTTAAATAGCTTAAAACTATAATGTGCGCATTTCTGTAAATTTGTAGATTGTTACTTTAATTATATCTCTTTGGGATTCAAGAGAAGACATGGTAATAATGCAATTACCATGCAATTATCTGCAATTTAATTATATCCAGTTTCTAATGTCCGACCTTCTACAAATCACTGCATATTAATTTGTTATGATCATACATGTAGTTTGCATCACCGTTTCTCAAATCTCTGACCTGCTGCTATTAATCTCTAATCTCTAACTTGCTAGTATTTACTATATATAGTTTCTTATGCGCAGATGGCAACACAAATTATCTGGAACCATTTATTGTGCGGACGCAGTTAAGTATATTAAAGAGTAAAATTGATTTAGTACAGTTATATTTTTAAATTTTTTCTGTAGAATAAAATGTATTAAAGAATATATTTTAATCTACGGAAAGAGTATATTGTTAAGAATTTTGTATTTATTTAGCTATTTTTAGTAGAATTTGTAATTAAAATTGCAGATATGTATATTGTATATATGTAATTGAAATTGTAAGATAATGTAGAGCAATAATATTTGGTGGCAACAATTTAAAAGTGATACAGCCGTTTATCGTGATTCGACGCAAAATGCCGTTTTCTGAGCTAACGCCCATCTAGGCTGATAACTTCACAAAAATTGTTTATATATAAACAAAAATTCGTATCACGGTTTTTTAGCGTTTCAATTTATTTATTTGATATTACTGGAACCAACTTTATTAATGTTAGAGACATTGAAACTAGGGATATATCATACTGGAGATTAAATATCATATTCGCAATAAACTACTATATTTCTACTTTTAGTTTAACCATTATTTTATGGATTTTAAATAAAAGCTAATTTTACATAGACTTTCTTTTTAATTTTTTTTAAATTTTAAAACAGTCCTTAAGTATGCATAAAGGCCTAAATTAAATAATTTTTAGATGAATCTTCTTAATTATCAAAAATCAAACTTACCGTTAACGAATAACACGTTGCTCCAAATTTCTGGATAGTATTCTTGAAAAATGCTGGTGACATCCAAGGCTATTTCTAGAACTATAAAAAATATGTTAAAATAATAATAAAAACACTGCTACTAAATAACATTATAAGCTAATTATCCCGCCTTCTTAACATGTCTTCGTGGTGTAGTGCTCAGCACGCTCGGCGCATATTCGAGAGGTCCGTGCTTCGAGTCCTGGCGAGGGCATTGCGCATTTTTCAACTCTCCTGCTTTCAAAAAATAACCTAATGGCTCTATAGGGGCACCTGAACTAAAAGGGGTGGTGGATGATGATTCTCCACCACGAGGATTTGGCGAATGGGTCCCCTAATCCCCAGTCGCCCTTTAAAAGGGAAAGTATATAAGGTATTTCTCCAGCCTTCTTAGCATGGGGAATTGGTCAGCACGCTTTAAGAGGTCTGTGGTTCGAGTCCAGCAAGGGCATTGCTCATTTTCACTTATGTTGCTTCTAAAATAGCTGATGTCTCTACAACATATCAACAAGGAAGAGTAAAAACATAAAAGTAATATTATTTTATTTAAGCGTTATAATCGATAGAAATGTAATTTGTATTATTATTATTATTATTATCATTGAAAAATTTAAGGTTTCGAAAAATGAAAATGCAGGATCGCATGAAAATGTGAAACATAACCCTTTAAGTAGTAGATGAGTAAAGAGCCAATAAGAACCACGAATGAATTCTTAAAGCGCAAAGTAAAGTTTAACCCTATAAATTATTAACTTACAAAATCTGAATTGTTAATTATGATACGGCGATTCAATGCAACTGAAAAAAATGCAAGCTTCACAAATGTTTGTAAATATTTTATAAAGAAATAGAATAAAAATAACGCATTAAATATAGAGATGGTCTTTTGAAATTATATAAAGCCGTGTTAACAGAAGATTCGAAAACTTTACATTTTGTCTTCCAGCCTATGTATACTGATATAAATTTATATCAACTAACCTAAACTTGGCTAAGTATCGCAAAAATTCCCTGCGTGATGAGGAAATTTCGACTATGTATTTTAATTAAGCAAAAAAAGTATTATTTATCCCTATATTTTGAATTCTTATGGCAACTAAACCTAACAGTGTTTTTTTTTTTTTTCATTCGCCGAAAATAAATAATATACAGAAACATAAAATTGTTTTGGTTTCTAATCGGCAAGTTTTATGAATTTCACACTAAATTTCTGTACGGCTATCGTGTTTCATGAAACATATTTTTACTACACATAAGCATTCAACTTTTGCACATAGAAAACAAATTTCAAATGTTGTGAAATTCTTCGTAAATCTCATCGTTGCCACTTTATTTAGCCAAATCATCAGCATTCTTTTCCACTGTTTTCAGATGGAATTAATATTTAAATTTACTTTTAAAGCCAATATACTACCATAGCGCTAGGAATACGAAAGTTTTGTTTTACCTTATTATGTAGAGTGATAAAAATTACCTTCAGTTATTAGATATTCATTATCTTTAAACATAACTGCATCGGCAAATTTCAATTTCCAGTATTCTTCAAATGGTGCAAATAGATAACAGAAATTCTTGAAATAAACTAAGAAAATTTAATGTGTAACTTTTATATTATTTTGAATGCATGAAAAACGTTATTTTTAATTTGAAAAAACTAATTTAAAGTGTTTTAAAGGAGGAATTTCTAAATGAATGTTTTCGCAGATCTTTGTAAAGATTTAAAAGTGATTTTTAAAAGGCTTATAAACAAAACCCTCAGTTGCTTTCCGATTACAGGATTCTGACCTTACTTGAAATAAATTTAATTTCTTCAAATTTTTTATAGAAGATTAGAGATTATGATGCTAAATTGTACTTAGGAATATGAATACTCACTACATTCACGGAGATGATCCTGAATTGAGAATCCAGTCAAGTCAAGAACATAGGTGATTTCCATTATCTCTTTTCCTCTCTGAAAATAGAAAAGAAAAATAATTTCGTTAGCCTATTTAAATTTCTAAATCCCAAATTCTGGTAATATTTCTACATTTTGAAATTCTGGCGTTTTTCTTGTTTATAAAACAAATAGAAAAAGCAAGCGGATACCTTCAAAATTCTTTTTGTTAGTATTTCAAGTCTGCTGTAGTTTTAAAAGGAAATATTCTGTACCATGATAGATATATAATGCTTTAAAGAAACATCCTTTGTATACTATAACAATAATACAATTTTTGATTAAAATTATCATTTGGATATGGAAATATTATAAGTCAAATGCATTATAAGTTATATCACTCACCTATATTATTAAAAAGTAATATAAGGAAGCAAACTGTTTAAAAATATGTGTCATGGTTTTCAATCATTTGTTTTGTTAAGCAACTGGAAGTAAAAAGTGTAGAAGTTTCAAGCCATCAGAAAGATAAAAACTTTATGCATTGCCAAAATGACTCTGTCCTGAGACCTGGCTATTTGCCAAGCCCCATCAATGATAAATTAAGGCTGTTATGTCTTACGAAGTGGCAACGCTGTGTAGTTGCATGGAGAATAAATACGTGACAGTGTAATGTAACGTGGTGTAATGATACAAAAGTTTTAAAAGCCTTCTCTATAGGTGAAGTGTGCTGAAGAAAAAAAATCTGATTTTCTTAATAATGTTCGGTAAAACTTTATACCAGAGGTTTCCAAACTTTTTGTCTCGTAGACCAATATAGGATCTGGTCTTCTTCGGGAGCATACAATTAGACCAGACTTCTAAAAGACCGCTAGTGACTTTCCATAATGTCTTATAAATACCAGAGTGTCAGGTAAAAGGTGTAAAGGAACCTTTTATTAATCCGAAATAAAGTTTAACAGACTGCACTAACTCGACCTTAAAGAAGCCAGACATTTGGCTTAACTCAAAATAATGAACTTAAAATTAATTAAGTATATCCTAATGGCTGCACACTTAATGAGGTTTACTTAATGCATAAAAGATTATTTTTAACTTTTTGAAGGTTTTGTCGTTATCTTCATACATAGCGCTAATTCGTTGTACCTTTGCATGGAGTTTGAACTTAGCTTATGCTACCAAAGAATACCAAATTTAATAACTTTTGCAAACTCGCCTGACGCAAGAAATACCCTGAAGATACCCTAAGGAGGACATGGTTAGGTGATGCATACATTAGTGCTGTTGAGAATATACGAAGTGCGGTTGGTGATAGAAATATTTTCATTTTATTTTATAGTAGTTTTCTCCAAATATAAACTGCCATTCTTAATGTCAGCTTTATAGATCTAATTTGCCTATCTTTCTATATTTTATTTTTCCATAACTGCTTATTATGCTTAATTAATTAAACTTATGCTTAATTAACTTATGCTTAATTAACTCATGCTTAATTAAACGTATGCTTAATTAACGACAATAGATTTCACGGGTTAAAAACAAAATAGGCAATATTTTTTTTAAATCAATTCCTAGTTAGGTCAACAAATATAAATTTTATTTTAGTCACTTTTTATTAACATTATTAAACTTTTTTTGTTTCTAATTTATAAACCTGATGGTGGTCTATAATTTCTCATTCTATCCATCTCTTGTAATGCTTCATTATTGCAAGGAACCTTTCCAGTGAGTTTCGAGCAGTCCAGTTCTTCAATTAATATTCCATCTAATGATTTCACACGGCTCAAGGCAACATATGCTTGACCCTGCTGCGAAGAGCTTTCGTCCTGGATATATTGCTGCATAATCTACAATGCTACCTTGCATCTTATGTACTGTTGTTATCCATGATAGTATTAATGATAGAATTCTTCGTTCAGCAGTTCAGTATAAGTCTTATAATATATTTAAAATTTGCAGTGCTACATTTTTACGGCTATCGAAATTGCATTTGATAGCTGTCAAAATGGTATTTTCGTTGAAATATGATACTCGAAGTTTTTCAGGATTGCAATACTTCCTTTTTCATCCAACTCTATTAAACTACAATTCTTTAATTCCATACATTTTAAAAATCTTTAGACCTCTGTCTTACTGTTGCCACTTATTTTTGTTAAATATTACAATGCCATTGATCTCACTCATGTAGTATTATTTATGAGTTATTATAAAATTAATTTTAACAGCACGTGAGAATTCCAAATAAACAGTCATTATTTGTAAGTCTTATAATATCTTCTCTACACACATAATAAAAGAAAGAGTCTGTCTCTCTGTGTGTGTGTGTTCTTTCTTTCGCGCTGCGCGTAAGCTAATAGACCCACGGCTACGAAATTTGGTACATAGGTGCATCTAGACAAGAGCCAGTGCACCTCAAAGCGATGTTTTTTAAAATTCGAATTAGAAGTTTTTTATTTTATATTTTGTGACGAAATCGCGTCATTTTGAGACATAATGGGCTATAGGAAAGCGAGATTTTACTCTACACACTCCATTTTCACATCGTCGTGAAACGTAGGCACTTAGTTATTTTAGGAACTTAAAGTAAATTTCGTGTTTCAATAAATCGATTCAATACGAATTTATTTAAGAAAGTGAGCTTAACACCTTTTCAACGGGTTTTTTTTTAAAGTTTATTTTTAAAAATGCACAGTTTATTTTTCTTTGATTTTTCGACACGTTAAACTTTCATCCTTGCGACTGCTTTTACAAAAAGAATTTTGGAAAAATGATAATATTTTGTATTTTTAAAAAATATTTTAAATGAAGCTTCCGAGTACACTTCTCACATCTTTAAAAATGTGATTTTCGGCAACAATTTTCCTTGTCCTTATTGTTGTTGATAGATTTTTGATGAAATCGCATCATTTTGAATAGTTTCATTCTTTTAGAAATATGGGCTTGGCAACAATTTTTCATCGTATTTCTTATGTCACTGTTTTTAAGAGATTGGTTTATTTCATTGTCATTTTTATATATATGATATATTTTTATTGATTTTTTTTATAAAGTCGTTCTACAGAGTAAAATTCTGCGCGGAATTTTATGTTTTTTGAGTTTCTTTCATGTTATTTTTTGCTTATTTCACTGTCTGTAAGATATTAAAAAGTTTTGCATGATTTTTTCTCTTTAACGGAAAGTTGGTTAATTTTTTTAATTGGGATAATTAATATTTGCATTAAGAGATATAGATTATTTCATTGTGATTTTTTTTCTCTTGAAAATATAAGATAAAATATCATTAATTATACTTTGCTTTTCAGAATTTTTTGTTTTTTGTAATCTTTTATATTATTTATTGCTCATTTCTCTGTTTTTAAGATATTGAAAACTTTTGAGTGATTTTTTTAGGAAACGAAGTTCTTAACCTCCTTTATACCATTTGAGTTCTTAAGATTTTGCAAAGGGAAGTTGGTTAATTTATTTGTTAGGATAATTAATATTTGTATTAAGGAATATTGTTTATTTCATTGTAATTTTGTTATACGCAATAACTTTTTTTGATACTATTCGGTTTCGAGGGTCATAAAAAATCGCCAAACTATTGTTGATGCCAATGCTGCCAAAAATAATTGCGGCAACCCTAATAATTGCGGTAAGAAAGGAAGTATAATAGTAAATAACTATCTAAGATTGATGTTTTAATTAGATGAAAGGTTAATTTCATATAATACTTTTTTATTATTATAATTTATATGAAAAAGGCTAAACATGACTTAATGGAAGCATAAGAGTAAGTAACTATTTCAGATCATAATTTATATAAAAATTGCTAAACATAACTGAATGGATGTCTGCATCGCTATTTCGCTACAGACTTATCGCTAAATTTCATCTCGTTAGTTGTTCAAACGTAATTTTCTATAATGAATGATGCCTTTTCTTTGAAAATATTCAGAATCGGAATTCAGAAGTGCAGAATCGCTCACTTGTTTGTTTGCCGCTTTTTACAAGGGCACAAAACAATTGGATTTTTGTCAATTTTATTTTACTTTTTAAATGAAAATAGGTCGATGTGTACATAGATAAAGTCAAGGGGGTGCGCAGTGCCATTTTTGTGCAATTCTGGGATTTTTTTTTAAGTGAAAATAGATCGATGTGCACATGGATACCGAGTATGTGCAATTCTTAAAATCGCGTCAAGCAGTGAGTGATTCTGCACTTTACCCAAAATTCTATTGCCGACTTTTCATCACGGGCAATTTCCAAATTGTTAAATCCATAGGATATCAAAAAAGGATTTAAAATCAAAAAAGAATTTAAAAATTAAACTAGTATTTCAATGGCGTCTTAAGAAAAATATAGAACTATACAAACTTAACACAATCTGAAACCAGCGCGTACGCTAGATTTGACGCGCTGTTAAATGGGCGCGTTTGCTAGATTTAGCGCTTTTGCGCATACATTTTAGCTGCAATTTTTTTACGGCCCTCAAAACAGAAGAGTACCCTTCTTTTTATGAAGTTATTCTGCATAGTAAAATTCTACGCAGTTTTTAAATTTAACGTTTGGTGTTCCCTTCAGCCATTTTCCGGTACATTTAAAAGCCAGACGAAGCTGCTAGTATTTAATAAAAGCAGCATATCTTTAGTTCCGATAAACAGGAATAAATCAGTAGGAACTGGCTTTACTATTTGAAAGCCAGACGAAGCTGCTAGTATTTAATAAAAGCAGCATATCTTTAGTTCCGATAAACAGGAATAAATCAGTAGGAACTGGCTTTACTATTTGAAAGCCAGACGAAGCTGCTAGTATTTAATAAAAGCAGCATATCTTTAGTTCCGATAAACAGGAATAAATCAGTAGGAACTGGCTTTACTATTTGAAAGAATTGTATTAACATCAAGTGTCATCCACTAAAAGTTTAAAAAAAAATGTATTTGAACTTGAGTGGATGAATAAAAAGTATTTTTATTAAGGATTAAAAATTTGAACACGATTTGGTGAGAGTGTGAGCTAATAGTAGGAATTTAAAAAAATAGTGTCCAGTGAACTATGATTAAAGAAGAATATTTAGGACCAGATTTTTAACTCTAAATTAGCTCTTAAGAATTGGCGGCTACAGTCTGCAGTAATTATAGTTTTATCTTATTGAATCTTTTTGATGTAAATGGTTATGCTCCTAACCATCGTAAATAAGCCAGAGAGTTTTTAAAGTTAATTTTAATTTTTAAGTAACCGCTATAGTATTATTTTATTGTTTTGAAGATTATGAAATGAAGTTAATGATGCATCAGAGCAAAAAATATGTAAGGTTGTCTAATAGCGAAACATTAGGTTTGGATTTCCATGGGGAAGTTATATATTAAATTTTTAAATAAAGAAATGTATATACAGAATAACCAGAATTTTTATAAATGTATAGTAAAACCATATGCTAGATACCTTTTCACTTTCTTTCCTGGCTGCAAGTATATCTGATAGCATCATATAAACAAAGAAATTGGAAAGTTCGTAACCAGACATAGATTTCAAGAAACCTGAAATTAAATAATAATAATTTTATTAATCAAATAATTTGTTTTTAAATTTTTCATAGCTAAATAATAATTTTTAAGTTTCTAATTATTATTTTTTATATTTAATCAAAATTTGGAGTAATCATAGCTTGAAATCATTATTGCACATTTTGAAATGATATGAAATTTGAGGATATCAGCCTTACATTCAAGAATTTTTTTTCATTTTAACTAATTAATTTTGTGATTATTACTTCCTTATACGAAGTAAAAAGGAAGTATTGTAAACGCGAAAAATGTCGGGTATCATATTGCAACGAAAATATCCATTTTGACCGCCATCGAATGCAATTTAACGAAGTTTTTGCGTGACATCTGTACGTAAGGACAGAATAAAGGGCACTTTTCCTCCAAAAAAATTATAAAAATGCTTTAAAATGAATTCTGAAGAGAATTTTTCGTGGCGTTTGTACGAACGTATGTACGTACGTACGTATGTATCTCGCATAACTCAAAAACGAGTAGCCTCAGAACGTTGAAATTTTGTATATAGGACTGCTATAACGTGTAGATGTGCACCTCGTATTGTGGTTGCAACCGGCCGCACCAAACGTATATAAATATATTTATATATATATCCACTCTGTTACCCGGCTCAGTGATCTCAGTTTCTTTACTCTTATATGTTTGTAAATTGTGCATTTTTTGTTTTAAAAATGAATGAATTATGTTGTTCTTATGTTTTAGTTAAGGTTTTATGCCTTTAGTAAATCCGCAAGCAATATTTGTATAATTATCAACAATTTAAAAGCTGTTCACGTGAGGTTAAGCCCAATTTTTAAATAACATGGCGGTCATAGTTTACATTTGGAACAACAGAATAGTAGATTAGCTGCCAATCTAGAGAGACTAAGCTTCTCCAACAACAAAGATAACGACATCGTTTATTATTTCGAATTAAATCATACTTAATCTATTCTGAAAATTCAAGGAAATAAGTGTTTAAGATTTACTGCGTAATTTTTAATATAGATATTTTTAGATGTACTGTGTTTTTGCCTTGTCGCGAAGTAAGGACTGAATCAATTGAATGAGAAATACTGAATCGTCTTTGAAAAACTGTTTCTTTTTTTGTTTGTTTGTTTGTTTTATTTCTTTTATATATCGTTTTAGATTTATTATAGGATTTGAATAGAACATGTGGAAACGATTAGATAATTCTTCAGATGCTATAAATTTTGTGCATTTTGAGATTTAAAATGGACGAAATGTAACGCTGTTAAGAGAACTTAGCGTAACGCCAGAGTGTCACTATGGTAAATAAAAATAGTGAATTTTAAAGCGTGCATTTATTCTATTGTGGTTTATGCGCTATCGTCGAAGTAGATTTAACTCAATCTAATAAGTTCAAATGAAATGCAAGAAAAATGTGTATAATTTAATATTCCATACAAGAAGTTATACGGTGTACACATCAAATTTTTATCTTAGCTTCCTCGTAATTTTAAACGTAGTGAGATTTCTAAAACTTATAAGCAAAGTAAAGCGTTATTTAAAGCAGATAAACGAAAGAAAACTTAAAAGAATTTATTGTAACTTCGTAATTTGAGAATAAAGTAGATAATAATTATTTAATGATGCTGTTTATTCCGCACAAGCATTTATCCCTATTCTTCGCAGGTTGGTTAAATAAAGATTTTAGTTATTTTACAATAAAATGTTTTTTCATCTTTCTTGGCATAATGTTTAGAGGAAACGTATATAGGTTGCAATAACATCAATACCTGATAGAGATTTTATAAGAAATAATTAATCAAAAATTCTAGTACCCATAGGATCTCCGCTTCCCACAGATATATAACGAATAGGAGTTCCATTCTTGGCAAACCCCATAAATCCGTTGTATTCGTATTTCTCTAAAACCTAGAAATCAAGAAATTTCTTATAATATTTTTGTCCATGAATGGAGTAATATTTAATATATATTATTTTTGAAGTGGTTTGAAATAAGAATAAGATACGTGTCGTCCCTGAGTAATAAGCAGACCTATCTATAAACAGCGAAGGCATCAATTTCGGTATAACATAAACGGACTTGCAGTTTGTCTGCAAACTGAGAACTTTAAATCACTTCTATGCCGCTTTAAATAAATTATCATTCTAATTTCGCCCAGAGAGATATAATAACCTTCATTCATAGTCAATTTAAGTAATAAATTATTTATTATATTCCGAAATCTATACTCCCCTGTTATTTTAGAGCAATTCGTTTCAGATAGAAAACAACTTAATTTTTTTGAATGTATAAAAACATATAACCATTAATAGTTAACAGCTATTCTGTAATAATTTCTTATTGCCTTAAGGGGACTCGGTACCTTTTGAATTTTTTTTTTATTTAAGAACTTTCATCTACTTTTTATGAAATAATATTAAGTGGTTTTATGAGACAAAATGATTTTAAGCTGAAAAAATGTTTTTGCTAATAATTTTTGTTTAATTTTAACTTTTTTAAAAACAATTCCACAATTAAAAATTCTTTCTTCTTCCTCAATTTTCAATATTTTTGTTTCAAATTTTTTATTATATTAATAATAGTGTTTTGAATAACTTTCCGATCGATTTTGCAATTAATGAATTAGTTTCTGAGAAAAAAAATAAAAAGCACATTTTTACGTAAAAACTTTAAAAAAATATGATTTCAATCACATTTCACTTCCAATAGTTTTTCTTTTCATATTTTTCAAAACCCATCCTTGATTCTATTAAGTATATAATTATAAATAAGCAGTAAAATTATTAATAATTTAATCCCTATCTGTATAAGTTTTTGGACCTTAAGTAAAAGGATATATTGAAAAATTGCAAACTGAAAAAACGCAATTTAAAGAATGTAAACTGTTTTCTGTAAACTCTTCAAATTTCTTAAGAAAATTATTACTGAATTTCAATACACACACACATATATATATAATAAAACTTAGTACTGCTCAATTGATCAATATGAACACAAATTGCAAGCTTTTGTTTAAAATTTTATCTGGCTAGAAATATTGCAAAGCTTTTGTTTAAAACTTTATCTGGCTAGAAATATTGCAAAAAAATCATAAAATGCAGGTAGAATTTTTCTTTACCTGTTTCTGTTTTTCAAAACACACTCAAAACAATTTTAATACAGGAATTAATTATAATACATTTTCTAAAACGCTTATGATCAATATTAATATTATTAATTTGTCGTTTTATTCATTTTTTTAAAAAGCAAATTTTGAAATTTTAACAGACATAAAACATTTTATTTAAAACCATTCAGTAGCTTATGTGATTTCTTTCTCTTAATTTTATCCATTTTGTTCTCTTGCATACAAATAACATTTTTAATTAATTTATGTTCATTTTAATTAATTAAAGAAGTTTAATGTTTGTTCCGGCACAACTTCAATAATGCTACAGTCAGAAACTTGATCACTTTCATTACACCTCTTCTTTCTGTTTGTGTCTAATCACAGATAATTTCAGTTTTTGAATTAGCATCGCAAAGTTGACTTGAGAATACGCATAAAATTACCTGCTGAGCTCAATATAAATATACAAGCATGCCAGTTTAAAGGTGAAAAAAATTTTCAACTTTCAATTTGTATTTAAATAAACCAGTATATACACATAAACAGAGTTTTTGGATAGTTGGAGTCATATTTAATTACACTCCTTTACATTTACGATGGTTTTTAGTAAGTTACTGAAATAATTAAGAAGTAAAAAAAATAAATACTGAGGGGGTGTGGAATTTAAAGGGGAGTCAAAATTTTAAAAACCTTTTTATAGCATTTATTATCGTCAGATTATTTCAAAATTTCTCTGCAGTGTAGTAAGTGTATTAAGGTACTTTTCCAGCAAAAAATTTAAAAATAGGTAATTTTCATTGGTTTGGGGATACCGAGTCCCCTAAAATCAATACGTTTTCCGGTACACAAAATTCAGCCAGTTCCTATTGTAATTAATCGATCTCGCAAATTAACTATATTTCGAGCCTCAAGTACAAGATCTTTAAATTTTAATATTTAATAGAATCTCTAACATTTTAAAACTCTTGTTTAGATGCTAGAAGTTTAGATTCTGGCCGTTTAGTCTTAACTCTAGTACTTTAGAACTTTCATAACATCTCTAGTAGTGTAGTACCTTTCATAGTATCTAACTATCTTTTGATTTTCATAGTACCACATGTATATATATATGCATACCTATAGGAGGTGGTCATCCCAACTGATTTCAGTAAAATATGTTTTAATGGAGGAAAAAATATACATCTATAAAAATAAATTTATAGGACAGCAATCATTCTCTTCAGGTTTTAAATTGCCTTCTTTTGTGCAAAAAGTAGTCTTTTTAATGATCTCATAATTTTTTCCAGTTTCTGTAATAATTACGATCGACGTTTTTACGCAGCATAGGTTCCGCTTATTGTGATATCTTGCACAATGTGAGCAAAATATATTCGCTATGCAGAGATACACTAGGCAACGCTTAATTATGCTCCCATTTGCCCACAGCTATTTTTATAACATTAACCGAATTATAACATTAAACCTTGATGCAAATATTCTTCGAAACAGAAATGGAATAAAATTAATTTAATGTAAAAATATCAAGAACATATAAATGGGCGTTTTCTCAGCGTTTTCACTAAGAAAAATTTGTTTATGAACTGATCACGTTTCTCGAAATGATTTAACCTGTCCTGTACCGTTATTTTTAATATTCAAAATACATGCTTCATTCAAACCCACCAGCGGCCGAGCGGTAAAGTCGCTGAACACTGGTAGTTCGGTCCGAGGTTCGAATCCCGCGAACGGGCTGGCTGCATGGGTGTTTTCGTGGTTTTCCCCATGTGTAACGTGTATACGAGCCAGTTTCCCTTAGAAAGTCCTCCACGAAAGGCATCCCTCCTCTTAGGCAGATAGCCCTAGTGTGCTTTGCCATAATTAAATACACCACACACCATGCTTCATTCAAAGTGAACATGCCAACGCGGAATTTTCTTTGAGCAAAAACGTAACCTTAATCTGTCGTAGGTGCTTCTAGCGAATGTTTTGTATCACAGGAAAAGAAAAAATTCTGCATATATATTTTTTTTTTACTCCTGAGGAAGAGAGACTCATGTCTGATCGCCCTCAAAATCGATAGAAGTATTTAACCCTCTAACCGGCAAGGCCGTATATATGTATACGGCTTGGAATATTGTGATACGTATATATACGTGCATATTAAAATATGCCTAAGAAATTAAGCCAATATATTAAAAGCTCGCAAATCCAGGTATAAAATACCAGGAGAATTTTGAAATTAAATTAAGAAAATAATATTTTCTCATAGTACTTTTGGAAAATTTGATATCAATCTATCATTTTTGAAGGCAATCAGACACGATTCTTTATTCTTCAGGAGCAAATAAGTTATTAAAATAAATTATATACTTTCCATTCTTTCGCACATAAACGAGAGGGACTTCCTCAAATCATTAGCAGTATCCAGTGATAACATTAACAAAGATCACATTAAGCTGCATCTCCTCATTAAAATATTTTTTTTCTTGCTTCAGTTTTGCATTCGCTTTCATTTTGTCACAAAACTGATCTATATTTCCTTCAGTTTCTTTTCTTCTTTCCGACAGATATTGTTTGATGTTCCTTTGCTTTTGCACAGTGCTTTAAAAATTCATTTGATTTTTATTTTTTTTTTCTTCTCTTTCTCCTTTCTCTTATATTATAGACTGATCTAGGTCTTAAATTTTTTTACTCCATTTATAGATGTCGATAGGTCTATATCCCTTTTTGGCACGCTATGCATCTATTAACTTTCGTTCCTGTTTTTTCTTTTCGTTTTAATTTGATGTTGTGGGGAATTCGGATTAAAAAGAATAAACTAACTAAATAGTAGTGTAAATGAAAAGTGATTTTATTACTTTTCAAAATAACAACTGTCATCAAAAACAGACGACCAGTGACTGTATATTTGGAGTTAAAGTGTATACAGCTGAAGAAAATTGTATACTGGTGTAATATGAAACACAGAATCCGAATTAACTACCTAAAGGCTATTCTCGTTTTTTAAGTTTTCTGCTGTAAAAGAACTTGATGACTCTGCAAGTGGCTCCTGGAACTAAAATATGGTGGATGATAATTCGTCACCACCAGGATTTGGCAACTAGCTCCCCTTTCCCTAGTCACCTTTTAACTGGGGGGGGGGAGAATATAAAAATAAATTCTCCCTTCTTACTGTGTGCCCTCGTGGTGTAAACAGAAAGCACATCCGGGTAGCAGAAATTAAAAAATTTCTTACAACATGCACTTTACAAATCAAGATGCTGGGAATATCTTCATGAAAGTGTCAAGTTTGTACGTAACATCGTTTGTAAAATTGCCAGTTCGTTGAAAAACGAGATAAATCACAAAACTGGCCCCATTCATGTCATGGAAATAAGATTATACCGTCCAAAGAAATTATTGCAAATATTATGGTCGGAGCACGATCACTCCAACCCTACTATCAAATATGAGTATGGAGCAGAAATCGAAAACTCTGAAAATAACATCCTCACTCTCTTATTACATCACCTATATTTTTTTTCAAAGAAGTAAATGATATTATCAGGACGCTTAATGCTAAAATGGCAAAGGATTTTAACAACACAAGCAAGATAACTTCACGTTGCAGACCCGTCCAGTCTGCTTTTATATATATGGAAAATCTTGGACAGAATTCTTAACTGCAGGCTCACTGAACATCTGCTAAAATATGATCTTCTCAATCCGTCTCAATTTGGTTTTTGCAAAGGTAACAGCACTACACACAACATTTTCAACATTATCGAATTTATTGCAGACGCATTCATTAAGAAGTCAGCCGCTGCAGCTTGCTTTTATGACTTTAAGATAGCTTTTGATACAGTACAGCACAAGGATTTAATTCACAAATTAGCAGAAAATAACGATCTAGAATCTCACAAATTAGCAATCTATCAAGCTTTTTACAATAAACGGAACATGTGTCTACATCTTTTAGAACTTTCTTAGAGTGTCAAGGCACTAAAATATCTAGAAGTCAGCTTTGATAAGAAGCTTTTCTTCATACAGCATATTAGGCAAATTAAAAGAAGGTACAGCACTTACGCAACCTCAGTGGACCCCTGCACACAGTTGGTGTGTTTCTTCTTAAAAGCTGAAATTGTGGTCTGAAAAACGTCCTTTGCTATGCAACAGTCATTCGGGAAGAGAAGCTCACCATCAATATTAGACAAAGACTGCAGAACATTCAATGCTTTCATATACTGCTCATAAGCAAAGTATATAGATCTTACCCCACATCCACATTACAGGTTCTAGCAGAGGTACCTCCCTTAGACATGACGGCACTGCGAGAGGCAATAATTGCAAAAATGACACTAAAACATCTAAATGTAAAATTCAGGAATCTATTTTATAAGCACGGACTTTGAAAAGCATGTCTTAAGCTCTCTTCAGACATTCGCCCATTATTGTCCTAAACAAGTACGTATTACGTACACCGGTATCTGTTAGACCTAGTGCAGTAAACATTTTTGCCGATGGTTCAAAGACAGAAGCGAGGACTGGTAGCGCTGTCTGTGAAATACAAAGCAACAGCAGGGTACGAAAATGGCAAAGAAGACCACAGGCTAGTAATTCTTTCAAGCCTAACGGCTATTAAAGCTGGCACCAGACTAAATACGTCAGTCCCAGATAAAAACATCGACAAAAAAGTTTAGCGACTGTACGTCTATTCTAACGGCAATCAGACGGCATAGTAGCCGAGGTTATATGTCCAAAATCGGCGGCTTCTCTTTATTCTAACGTTAAAGAGATCGAATCTAGCACGGGTGTGCTGCGCTTTTTGGCATTCATGGGAATGAAACAGCGGATGAATTGATAAAGGATGCGGCCAATGATAAATAGAGAGTATTCGGCAAAATTTCACGTCTCTTATCCTAAAAAAGCTCCCTTGAAAATTTTACTGGATACTTAGCAGTCTCAATGGAAAACAGCAGTTAAGAACCGCATCTTTGCCTTGTGTTCTGAAGTAAGAACTGCCCTCAGAATCACAAGTGGAGTCACAATGCACTTGCTAACGAGTCATTGTACCTTCCTCAGCCATCTGAAACGTTCCGGCAAGGCAAAAGACCAGATGTTCAATTGTGAAGAGGTAGGTGATTAAGTGTTATGGCTATAAAATTTATATTATTTTCGCTTTTTAACTACATAGAGTATCTTAAAATTTGTAAAGAAACAACCTTGTATTTGGCGTAGATTTCGACAAAAACTCACTGAATTTCAATAGCAAACGTGCCCCTCTTCATCAGGAGCAAAGAAGTGGAAAACAACCAATTGAGGTCAAGATTCAAACGCAGGTGCCTGTTGCTTTAAACTATTCCACCCAGTCTCTGTGCGAAGTCGTTAAAACGGTTACAACACAAAGATATAAATTATGATATACTAAATACACTTGCGAATATAATTAAGATACAGGTATGAGAAATTTGCTCGTTATACTTATGCAAGAGTGCACTATGAGACTAGAGCTGTACAAAAAAACAGTATGATACTAGAGCTGTACTCACTACTATAATCCATAGAGATAGAATCATTAATTCGTGCAAAAATCACGTACACTAATATTACTAAATACTACTTAAAGATACCAATACACATGAGCTAAAGGATAATACTCTAAATGAACATAACTAAAAATAATTAAGTACTAATATTAATGAGTAAACACAACTGTTACATAAGCTTGTTTCAGGTATTTTTCTACACAGCTAGGTGACAAGAACACAAGTAAATAAAACATTTTTATATATAAAAGTGAAAAAGGCTTTCGAGAGTTCTCTGATATATCGTATGAGCATTCTAACCGCGAATTTAGTGTCAATCCATTGATTTTAATGATCTATGTAAGTCAACAAAGAGTAGCAGTCATCTATTATATTAAAAATAAATAAATAAATCAACAGTTTACAGCTCAACGTGCTCTGAAACTTTGAGCAGTTCACTAATTCACTGTTCAAGCAAAGAGTTCACTTTCACATATTAGAATATAGTACTTCTTTAGGCTTTAGGATCCTATAGCTACTGTTGTTCAACTCGATTGTAGGAGGATACATTTGCATATACTTCTGCACAGTATTTCTTGACCTCCATAGGTTTGGGTAGTGCTTTACTATTTACAATACGATCTGTGTTCCTCAGCAGATTTCTGGAGATGAGATGGAGCCGTATATAGCAGCATGGAAGGGAAACTAAGAATTTACCCATGTTGTAAGGCTAGGACAAGGCTGCATTTTATCAACATTTCAATTGCATTCCATTGAGCAAAAATAGATATTAATAATAAATAAAGTTTTCCCTAATAATAATTTAATTCTTATTATTCTTGAAAATATTCATTGAATATAAAAAATGAAATAAAATAAAGACACGAAAAATGTAATAATGTGATTTACATGCATTGCTACTTTTAGGGAATGGAATATTTTACCTCTATTTTTTTGTAAGTGGTAACTATCGTATCGGCTTCGAACATCTGTCGACAGCAGTAAATCTGAAAGATATATTTATATATGTATATTCCTATTTTTTACTTCATTTAAGACGCTCAATAAATAGCAAAGAAATTCAATTACTTCTTAATAACCCCCAAACTTTAGAAAGTTTTTTTTTATCCAAATTGTAAATCATCCCCGAATATTGTTGCTATTCAAAAAGGAAAAGCAACCAAAGGCCAATTTGTAATTGGCTGTTGATTGTTTAGTTTAGTCATTTGAACGGACAGTTCAAATGGATATGAAGTATGTAAAGACAAATTCAATAACTTTAAAATGCATACATGTTACATCACCATTCACTATGTGTTATTAAGCGTAAGTTTAAATGATACATTCTGAGGGATGAAATACATATATTTTGAACAATATACAATATATTATGCTTAAAACTGAAAAACAAGAGTTTCAAATTATATTTACTAAGTCCAATGCCTAATTGCATGGCAAAAATGTACAGAACATTTTCAACAAAAGCTTTTCCATATACAAATTCTTTTCTTTTTTCTTGCTTGTACAAAATCAACAAATAACAAGCGCCTTAACCTCATTTAACCAGAACGCTCAATATTTATTAAAAAAGTGCATGAATTTGTTCACTCAAAAATACAGAATACTAACATTATATATAAAAATGCTGCATATAAGCAGAGAAAATAAAGACACCGAAAATATTTAAATATTTAAAAATATTTTCTCAATATTTATTATTATTAATAATAAATATTGAAGAAATTATTAATAATAAATGATAAGGACGATAATACTTTGTGGCAACAATTTGAAAAGTAATTCACCGTTTGTAGTGAATCGACGCAAAATGGCTCAAAATGGACGTCCAAACATAAACAGCGAAATTTTCTCATCACAAAATGTAGCATAAGTATACGAGCCAGTAACATAAGTATTGAGTCATTCCTCTACGAAGGTACTTCTTACCATAAGCGGATAGTTCTTTTGTGTGCTGTATTACGTTTTGAAAAAAAAAAGGGGGGTTTGCAGGTACCACATTTTAGATTTCAGAGAAAAAAAAAGAAAAAATCTGAAAGGTTTCAAATTTTAAATGAAATCCAAAAGGGCGTTTATTTAACGTTTTGTGTGTTACCTTCATTTATTAAATATCATGTTTGCACTTAAACCATAAAATTCAGTTCAATAGCAATGTCCCGAAATAATTTTAAAATGAGCGTATCTTTAGAGCTTCCGATACAGAGTTCCGCGCGTTGGAGATAAAAAGTTTTTTTTTCACCCGTAGAGTGTTGCCATAACTCGACGGGTTTACAAAACCTTTTTCTTTTTTTTTTTTTTTTTTTTTTTTTTTTTGGTACGAATGTTTTGTGCGTTTACTTTCGTTATTAAATATCATATTCTTGGAGTTTACGCCACATAAAATTCGCTTCAACAGCAAAATCACAAAATATTTAAAAACAGCATATCTTTAGAATTTTTGAGAGAGAATCTCGCACGCTGGAAATAAAAACAATTTTTTCCGTATCTTTCCTGCCAGCTCTCTTGCTTCGTCTCAGTCCAAAAGCGTGGAATCAGTTATTCCCATGGCGCGTTTTAAACAAAAGTTCACTATCGATAGCAAACCCAAATGCTAATTTGTTATAGAAACTACTGTAATTTGTACAGACAAAGTGTTTGTTTTAAAATAGCGCACAATTAATTTTTTTAAAACTATAAATAATGTAAAATTACGCCATCCATAAAATTACTTTTAAGAATATTGACTTTGCCACATATACAAAATTAATTCTCATGCTAAAATAAAAATAGCTGAAGATAATTATTGTTGCCAGATTTTGTAAAAGAATGTACCTTAGAGTATGCTACTAATTTCAAAAACCTAATAATTGATTTTCACATATTTTTTGCTAAGCTGTCAAGTATCCTGTCTTCTCTAATAATGATTATTTGAAACATAATCATAGTTTTGGAAACAACAGACATAAGTAAATATTAAATAATGAATGAATATTTTTTCATAATATTCATGTAAGAACTGAAATGAAGTGAAGTATTTTTGTTCTAGAATTCATTGGTTGAATGAACGAGATTATTTACTTTAGAAATATAGAAATGTTAGAGTATTTTAAACTGTTTTTTTTTTTTTTTTTCTTTAGACAAATGCATACTTATTTTACATTTTCAATAATATGTCAAGGGAAGTAAATACTTACCTCCCGAAATAGCTTTTCAGCCTTCTTCAAGTTAAAGTTCCTAGCTAAATAAAAAAAGAGTAATTTTGTATTAAAATATATATGCTTCATTGGGACAGTTAAAAAAGAAAAACTGTCAGGCAGAATTTTTAAGGCACATTATTTATCGACTAGCATGTTCTTATAAATAGAATTTTTTTCCTCAAGGGGAGACAAAATTCTTTGGCTCTTCTTTTTATATGATATCAATGTACTTTCGAACAAGTCAAAAATTTTTAAATTAAAATCGAAATTACACGTTATTATCTAAAATAATTTCATTTACAGAGGTCTTCTTTTTTTAGTTATTTTTACATATTGTATTGTGATTTGTTTTTATGCATTTGTTGTGCTTTGAATAAATATATAGAATAATACTAACATAGAGGTATTTATTATAGAGGTATGCAAAGTAGAATAGCTATCTTAAGAGTAAAGATTTTTTCCCCCGATGGCAGATTGTGAACAGTTACAGTTTTGTAACAGAGTCCATTAATTTATACTAAGGCCAGATGTCGTGGTCTCTTTATTATGAAGACACCTAATAGGTGGGCCACCATTGTCTCCTATGAAGGGACGGAGAGTTACAAGTATGGCCTTTTCCGGGATTCGAACCCAGGCTCTTTGGTATCGCAGTCAGGCTCTCCTAACCACTATACCGTCTGGGCGGCCTTAAAAGTAAAGTTTTATTAATTATATTCTGGTTTCGTAATGCTGTATATCTACTGAGTTTTTTCATACTGTTTGAAGAGAATTATTATATACTTGAATATATTGCCTTGTCACGAAGTACTTAACGGTGACCCAAATCACCAAATTTTTGCTTCCGACTTGAAAGGTGTGTGTGTGTGTGTATTTGTGAGTATGGCAAAACCTCGAGGGCTATCTGCTTAAGAGGAGGGATGCCTTCGTGGAGGACTTTCTAAGGGAAACTGGCTCGTATACACGTTACACATGGGGAAAACCACGAAAACGCCCATGCAGCCAGCCCGTTCGCGGGATTCGAACCTCGAAGCGAACTACCAGTGTTCAGCGACTTTACCGCTCGGCCGCTGGTGGGTCCGACTTGAAAGGAAATTAATAAAAATAATACATCAGTAAAGGAAATGGAAAAGAGTAATTTTCTTTAAAAGACTCAGAGACTTAGAAATTTGGACAAGGACGTAGAGAGTAATTTTCTTTTAAAATAATACGATGCTTTCACTGTACAACTGTCTTAAACCCTTATTTCAAAATTTGGGTAAAGTTCATTAACAAATTCTCTAAAATGTAATCAATATTTTACATACAATTAACGAATCGATGTTTTAAATTCTTTGGCTTTAATACTTTGTTTTTGATATTAAATCAATTCATTTGCATAATCAGAAATAAAACAAAATCAATCATGAAGAATTACGCAGGCCAGTGAGTAAAATAATAAATCAAATTTTTTTTATCGAGTTTACATTTATTATTATACATCCTACGTCTAAGCAATTTTAAATATTTGCGAAAGTGATTTACCTCGAAGCACCTTCGTCAGCTGCAAATCCGTGTCATATTCTGTTCGGATATCGCTAATCTGCTTCTTAAACTAAAAAGGAAAGGAAAATTCAAATTTTTATTAATAACTATCAAAGGACAATATTTTTATCTGATAATTTTATTTTAATATGTTGCATAACTTTGCTGTCATTTTAAAAACTACGAATTTCAGTTAGCGTAAATTGCGTTTTCGCATTAGGTTATATATTTGAAGCAATGATACATACGTAAAATTCATTCAATTTTTATTATCTTGGTTTATCATTGGTTTATTATAGGCATTGTTTTATAGATTCATAATTAATTTCTAAATTTAATTCCCGAATAGTTTTTCTTTATAAAGTAAGGTTTCAAGAATCTAGAATTTAATTATTAATTATATTATTTAATTATATTTATTAAAATATTATTATAAAGCCTAAGGATTAGACAAGCGAGTAAATGGAAAAGCAGCATCTTCTGTTTGAAAATAAATTTTAAACTCACCGGTAAAAAATAAAACTTTCGATTAAAAGCTTACTATGATTAAATTCAATGCTTACAACTCAGATTTAAACAGTGTAGTTGAATTTAAATAGAATTTCGTTTTCAATAATTTTCGATAAATGTTCCAATAGAAATTCTCGAAATATTGAAAAGTTAAGAAAATTTTAAACGCGTGACAGGTGTTTAATTTTTGGTTCACGTTTTCATCGTTTATTCTTGTAAAATATTTATCAGGGCACATTTTTCTATTTTTGATTTCTAGCGCTAATAATATGTATAGAATAATAATGCTGTGTATTGAAACAGGTATCAGATAACCAACTCATTTTGAAAACAGTGGCCATAACTGGCCATAAACATATCAAGTATAGTATGTTAATAGTACAGTATGTAGTTACCAGTATCAGCATAGTATGTAGTTACCAGTACCATAGTATGTAGTTACCAGTATCAGTATAGTATGCAGTTACCAGTACTAGCATAGTATGTAGTTACCAGTACCAGCATAGTATGTAGTTACCAGTACCATAGTATGTAGTTACTAGTACCAGCATAGTATGCAGTTACTAGTACCAGTATAGTATGTAGTTACCATGCATTTTATGTAGTTTACCAGTATAGTATGTTATAAACGTGTTGTGTTGATCTGTATGTAATGCAGGATTGAAAGAAGAACCTTCTGTAAGGTTCCTCAATTTTATCTTGTTAAAGGTAATATCGAGGAAACTAGTGAAGTATTAAGCTAATAATCGCTTAATTCCAGAAACGTAAACTCAAGAAGGGTTAATTACCCTTTATTTGCTCCTAATAAAGGTATACAGTCGGCCCCTTTCTCAGGGCATACAGCAAAGCCTTCACTTGGGCTTAACTCAAAATGTAAGAAATAAGAACTGACTAGTGACTGAGCGCCGCCTAAGATAACCACTGACCTGACTTACTCAATAAAGTCTTACAATGTTGATAGTCGTCCTTGGCAGAAGGGAATATTTCTGCCGTATAAAATATAAATATAAATATTACATGGGCATACAAGGCCTGTGTATAAGCATAGAATATGTTAATTACAAACATTGTATTGTACAAGTTACGTGTGATAGTTACATAAAATCATGACAGTTATGTGCACATTTAAATATTATCTGAATTCATTTTTACAATACTTTTACCAAGTAAACTTGTAATTCATTTACACATTGACTGGATTTTTAATGTCATTTTAAACTGTTTTAAAATATCATTTTTATCAAGTACATACAAACTGCATATTAATATGCTTACATTACAATAGTTTTGCTCTTACAGTCCTGTTACTATTACGGGGTGAGCTATTTTTCTATGTTGATTTTCGGTTGTTGTAGTATTTTGGTTTGCTATTAAAATTATGCTGCGAAGATACAATTTTCAAGGGAGGGGGAGAATTTCTTAGTACCTTGCTGAGCATAGCCTGATTCACCACCTCTGTCTTAGTTTTCGTCTGCTTGTTGCCTCAGGTATTCTCCACCTATTGCGGCCAGTATTCACGGCTTGGCGTTTTTAAATGCAGTTTATCGGTTTGTGGGCAGTCATTGGCTGCGGATTTCGCAAGCACGTCCGCCGCTTCGTTGCCAGTAATACCCACATGAGCTGGAACCGAGATCAGGATAGGTATGTCATCTGGTGGGATACTTAGAAGAATTTTCTGAATATCCTGCACCAAAGGACTCCTTGTCTTGTGTCCTCGGATGGACTCCAAACTTGAGCCAGAGTCGATATATATGTTGACCTTTATTCCTAATTGATATTTTGCCAAATTGATGGCTGCTTTTAATGCAAGAAGCTCCGCCTGAAAGACGGTATGTTTGTCTGCCAGTCGTTTTTCCCAAGTTTTAACCACTTCTCCTTCTTGGAGTACACAGTAGGCGCCGCCTGCGCCCTTCTCCGTCTTTCAGCTATCTGTGTAAATAGCTAATGCTTTCTCATTTGGCGGGGTGTATTTCAGGTTCATTGTGTGCGATAAATTTGTATCTGCAAGGTGTCCAAGCATAATCGGCGTGCGCTTATCATAGTTTGTGTGGTAGAATGTCTTTTGCCACAGAGAGACGTTATTTTCCAGGCGCAATGTCCTTACTAATAGTGATTCTCTCCACTAGAATGTCCAGTGGAGGGATATCCGCCAGCACTTGCAGTGCAGCACCGCAGCACTGACTAATGACTAACTAAAGTGATTTAGACGAAGCTAACAAAATTCTAAACTAGTTGTCCCGTAATATTAAACTAGCCAGCAAAGCTGCCAAAAGGCACGTAGTACAGCTGAGCATATTAACAGAGACGTAGCCAAAAGGCAAACGTGCTCTGTTCAGAAATCCTAACTCTCTCTGGCGAAGTCAATGGAACTTGATTTAAGAAAACTAATCTACTTCTAATCTGCATTTAACGCGATTCTAAAAACTCATTCTGGTAAGAAATTGTAAGCTGAATCTAGAAGAGCTAGGAAAGTGGCATAAAATAACTGTTATAATATTAAAATATAACCAACACTTGAATTAAAAAATACTATTCCAAAGCTTTCATTATTAATATATAAAAATGATATAATTTATTTTCTATTTATTCCATTCATTTTCGGGAAACTTTTCGGTATTCTCTTTGTCGTAAAATATTTGTTTATTACATCTTTGATATCTTCCAACTTTAGGCTACACGATTCAACAGATAATCTCTGGATAAGGACATATTTGAACTCTTAAATAGATGAGTAAAAATCTACCATCGTGAAACGTTGATAAATCAGTCTCACTAGTATGTGATTTAACTTTACCCTTTTGAACACAACATTAGCTCTGTTTAATCAATGAAAGTCGCTGAATAAAATCCATTTCAAATTACGTAACTGGTGACAACAAAGTCCGTTATACTGATATGATTACTTCTGAAACTTCAGAAGGATACCACACTTGCATATCTTGACATAACCTTCAAAGAGCAAAGAAAAAAGGGGAGGGATTACATTCAGAGAATTTCCTCCCCTTTTATTCCTTTTTCTTGTTTATCTGTGTGATTTAACCTTCCAACACGCGCGCTTGGCAATTTTGCATGAGCACGCGCGCGTCGTATTTTTTACGACATCCGCTATTTTACCGTTTTTGGGCACGAAAAACGACAGAAATGAGTGAATATTGATAATAAATTTATTAAGAAATAAAATATTAATCTTTTTATTGCAAAATACAAACGATATCTCATTAAAATATAAGAAAATTATTTTTAAGTTCTTATGTTAGTGAGATGGAAATGCAATGATGTATTTCATTATAGAACATTTTAAATTTATTATTTAATAGTTAAATCGAAGCTAATTTTAATATTCATCAAAGACAAGTATAGACAATAAAAAAGGAAAACACCTTGGTAGGAAAAAAAGTTTAGCATTACTTACTTCTGCAAGGAAATTTACTTCTTACTGGTTACAAAAACGCCCTTTAAGCTAACTTTAATGTTTTTATTTATTTCTAATAAATAGAAATAAAAGAAAATAAGGAATGGAAATCGCTATTGTTATCCCATCCAAAGGTTTCCTTGTCTTCCTTTTCTTCATCAGATTGTTCTTGAAGAATCCGTGCAAAATCGCTGGTTGCACATATTTTTTTGCCATGAAAACCGATATAAAATTTACAGAGCCAATTGTATTGAAATTAAAATAATACACAGCAATTAATAACATAAAATTACAAAATATTTTCCGAATATTAAAACACGAGCACGCGCGTGTCGCAACGTTTATGAAAAAGCTGCCACGTAGCACAAAAGCCCAGTTAAAAAAAATCAAATAACTTTCTGTTGGCACACTCCATAATGTGGGGAAAAGTAGAAAAGAGAAATAGAAATGACCCCAGACGTCTCAGCTTCGATATGCGAAAAATCTGCATTAAAAACTGAATTTGTCGTAAATTTTGGGCATACGCGCGTGCTGGAAGGTTAATCCGGCGAAAGGCGCATCAAGAGAAGTTACTAGAGTGGGCGTATGGGATTTCACATACTACAATATTTAAAATACGGTAGAAACAGTTTTATTTATTTATAAAGCTATGTTTCTTTTATAATACATGAATAATATTTGAGTTACAAAAAATAATTTCCAAAATAACCTTATGGAGAGTTAAAATTAAGATAAGTGAAGATAATAAGAAAATAAATATCATACCTCTAAGTTTTATTGCATCTCTAATGCACAATGCTTATTTTATTTGTTTACATTTATAAATTTAACAAAATACATTCACGTGTTCTTAGCACTGAAAGTTTTCACATTTTAAGTATCGAATTCGCGTTCTTCTGTCCTTTGGCTCGAGGGCCAAACAAAATGAATCACATCTTTTATGCTTAGTTGCTTCGAATTTCCTGTATTCGTTTGAATTATTCCTCGAAACCTCTGCTCTTCTTTTGCATGCAGTACGTAAGTTTCTAGGTCAAGTATTAATCTCTGATTCGTTGTTCAATACATTTTTTTATTAATTGTAATGCTAAGTCTCTCAAAAATGGATATCTACTTCTGTATCTGGTTGATGGATTAGCATTTGAAAGTAA